TAACTATAACTAAATACAATGGACTATCTAAGTGATAGTCTGCCATTCATTATCATCACCTACAGTCGTCCCATATACACACAGGCTCTTGACGAGTGGGTTAACCCTATCACCCCAAGAAAGCTAAGAATATAGTCACTTCAGTTTTGATACATCCTCATAAATGTCGATATACTTCAGTGACCTTCTTAAGAGAGGCATAGTTAAATCCCATTGATTCTGTACATGATATTTTTGTAAGTTTTGGTATTCATTAAACAGCAATAGGTATTCTGAATTAGGATAAGGAGAAGTGTGGGGTGTGGAGGAGGGGGGAAAAAAAAAGGGGGGGGGGGGTTAGGGAGACAAGGAATGAGAGAGAGACAGACAGACAGGAAGGAAGGAAGGCTGTCAGACAGACACAGACAAATAGCAGACAGAGAGAAGGCCACAGAGACAGAGTAGGATGGATGGAATGATTAGGCAGATAGGTGGTTTGCTAGATGGATTGATGGCTGAATAAATGGATGGATGCACACAGTGGACAGAAGGAAGGAGGGAATACTGAGAGAAAGAGGAGAGAGAGGGAGAGAGAAGGATAGTTTTATAATTCTGAAACTGTGATTAGCTGTCGTACCCATCATCTTACGCTTCTAGATAATTCTAAGAATGTTCCACTCATAGTAGAGTTTTTCAGTCCTAGATGATTATGAAAATTATATAATCATAGTACAGCTTTCAATCCTAGCTACTTCTGAAAATAATCCATTTATAGTAAAGATTTCATCATCATCATCATCATCCCATAACACTGCATGTCGTTGGGTCACCAGTTTCTGTTGACTGTCTGATCAGCTCTCTCCAGCTTGCGATGGACTTCATGGTTGCATGCCTGAGGCCTGTCCAGTCAGTCAGGTTCTGTAACCAAGTCTTTTTTGATCTGCCTCTTCTTCTCTTTTCCTCTAATGAGCCCTGCAGTATTGTTTTTGAGAGGCCGTTACATCTTATAACATGCCCATACGATTGAATTTTTTGCCTTTTCACTGTAGTTGAAAGAGGTTCAAAGTTGTGAGTGTGCTGTCTAACTATATGGTAAACCTTTTCTATTGTAATGTGGTCTCTGTATGATGTGCCAAGAATTTTTCAGAAACATTGCATATCTAATGCTTGCATCTTCCTTTCGAGTTCAGCTGTTAAAGGTCCGTGTTTCACAGCCATATGTAAAAGTGCTAATAGCTAGTGCTCTGAGCAATGGAATCTTAGTTTTGCATGAAATGTTTTTGGATCTCTGTAATGTTTGCTGTTTGGCAGGGACTGATGTTGTCTGAGCAGTCTTAGACATATTTCTGGTCTTGACCACAGGTCACTTAAAATGGATCCTAAATATTTGGAATTACTGATATAGTAAAGATTTCAATCCTAGGTAATTCTGAAAATTATCACATCATCTATAAACTTTCAATCTTAGTTCTAAAAATGACTGAATCATGATAGAGCTAACTGCAACATGAAATGACTGCATGTTAACTTGTTCTTTCAGAGCTATACAGAAATTTACTGTTGCCATCAGCGTGGACCCAACTTATATCCGAGCGTATGTGTGTAGGGCAGAGGCCTATCACAAGACACACGAGGTAAAGCTACATACGTGCATAATTTTATTAAATCTTTCTGTCCCATGCAATAGCCATATGTTGTTCGTGTGCACCAGACATTATTTGTGTTATATCTTTACGTTTGGTTTTAAGATACATGGAAGCATTGATAGATACTTACATGCTTCTTCTTCTTCTTCTTCTTCTTCTTCTTCTTCTTCTTCTTCTTCTTCTTCTTCTTCTTCTTCTTCTTCTTCTTCTTCTTCTTCTTCTTCTTCTTCTTCTTCTTCTTCTTCTTCTTCTTCTTCTTCTTCTTCTTCTTCTTCTTCTTCTTTTTCGTCTTCTTTTTTCTTCTTCTTCTTCTTCTTCTTTGTGTAAACTCTGTAAGAAAGTTCTCGTTGTTCATTCACTTTTGGACTGCAGTCCTGTTCCAGAACCTGAGTGTTGCGTGTGCATCAGTTTGACAGATCTGACTCATTTGTATGCAGACTGCTGGTTCCTTGCCTCTCAGGCTGATGCACTCTGACTTTGAAGGAAGCTCCCAATTAGTCGACTCTTACGACATGCTTTTGGGTAGGCAGTGGGTCTATTATTTTTTTTCCCCTATAACAGGGCCCCGGAACCCACACGGGGAGCTTACATGCTGGCCAGAAGGTCTTGACTTCTTGTTTTTCTTTTTAGCATTCAACGGCTGTAAACTCCAGTGGAAAGTTCTAGCTGTTAATCCACTTCTGGACTTTGGTCTTTTTCCAGAACTTGATTTGTGTGTGCACTTCTGTTTTATATCTAGTTTTCTATATGCAGACTGTTGATTCCTTGCCTGTTAGGTAGATGTACTCTGACTTCAAGCAAAACTCTCATAAAGTCACCTTTTATGACATACTTATTGGGAGGGGAGGGGAGGGGGTCATGAAGGTCTACTCTGCCCTTCTCCATAATTCGGCCCTGGAAGACACACAAGGTCTTGGGTTTGAATCTGCATTAAGGTGGATTTTTATAATTAACATAGTGCTCAATCCAGCCTAAAACGGTACCAGGATATGATCTGGATTAGTGTCCATGTGATTATAACCACATCACTCACCAAGTTCCAATTGGTCTATCACTATATGACTGATGCACACTAATGATGAGAGCCTTTACTTTATTTTTTCCCCTAAATCTCACTAAAATATCTTGCTAAACATTTTGTTGTGCAGCAAAGAGTGTTTTGCATCTTTGAAAGTCCACTCTTATACTATTTTTCACTGTGGTTGTGATGCCAATACACAAAACAAAACATGAAACATCTGCCACAAAACCTTCTTGGACTAACAGAGTTAATATTAAAATAAGTTGTGCAAAAATCTGCGTGACAAATAAAGATTGGTGAAATCTGCAGCACTGAACCTGTGCTTAATAAGAAGAAGAAAAAGAAGCAGCAGCTCTGAATAGAGGGATAGCATTTAGAAGTCACACTTAACCTCCCTCACCTGGATCCACACACCCGGGCATGTCCAAGTTAAAGGTAATGAATGAGTGGACCAGCTGGCAAGCATTGCACCACTGCAAGTGGGAGAATGTATGGGCAGAGCATATACAATCAGTGCCTATATAGACTAGACTGGTAGATAGTGATGAATCTCTGACGTTGAAATGATTGTATGAACTCGGAGTGAAACCTGGTGAAACATGTTGGTGCCATCCAGAAGCTCAAGATAGGAAACATTATAACAAGTTTCTAATGGAAATAGTCTAAAAAGGTAAGTTTGGATCACTACTGAGCACAAATGAGAATGCTATATGTGCAGAATCGTCATTTATGATAACCTCCTGGTGAAAAAAAAAAATATTCAATGGGTATGTTGCAAAATTTAAAACAAAAGTATACAAGGAATTGGACCCAGTCGGATGTGTTGGTTTTGATGTTTCTCAGGGTGGGAGTTTTAATTACTGCCATAAAAATTACTAATTTAAGTTAGTTATTACTCTTAGACGGACTGTCTAAACAATACTGTGCACCACATTTATTGACAGAGGATCAAATGGTTTAGTCATCTTGTGAGAATGCGGTCAAACACAGGTGCTACACATAAAAAGATCTGGTGTGAAAGCAACAAGTTGTCCTAGGAGAAGATGGATTGATGACATTAAAGGTCTTTGACATTGACATAGAATGTCAATAGCCATCGCTACTCATCAAGCAATGGATTTTAAACTATTCTTTCCTATGATGTTTAATGGCAAAAGTAGAAAGTGATGATGATGAGGAGTTGTTTAATTTGTCAACCGATCATCCTCATCGCACATCAGGAAAGTCCATAATGCTCGAATCCCATCTTTGTTATCTCCGTCAGCATGTATTGACAGATTTATACCAGTTTTGTATTGGTTTACCATTTGTCTCTGGCTACCTGTACAGTGTTTGAGTCTGAGAAAACCTCTTTTGTCATGAAGTTCTTGTAGTTTAGTCAAGGTTGCTGATTCAGCATTTTCTCCTGAATCACATTCTTGTAGTTTAGTCAAGGTTGCTGATTCAGCATTTTCTCCTGAATCACATTCTTGTAGTTTAGTCAAGGTAGCTGATTCAGCATTTTCTCCTGAATCACATTCTTGTAGTTTAGTCAAGGTTGCTGATTCAGCATTTTCTCCTGAATCACATTCTTGTATTTTAGTCAAGGTTGCTGATTCAGCGTTGTCTCCTGAATCACATTCTTGTAGTTTAGTCAAGGTAGCTGATTCAGCGTTGTCTCCTGAATCACATTCTTGTAGTTTAGTCAAGGTAGCTGATTCAGCGTTGTCTCCTGAATCACATTCTTGTAGTTTAGTCAAGGTAGCCAAATCAGTGTTGTCTCCTGAATCACATTCTTGTAGTTTAGTCAAGGTAGCTGATTCAGCGTTGTCTCCTGAATCACATTCTTGTAGTTTAGTCAAGGTAGCCAAATCAGCGTTGTCTCCTGAATCACATTCTTGTTCGCCCTTCTTGAGAGCATTGAGAGCATTGCCCCTGTCCATTGCTTTTCCTATACTTATTATGGCCCAACCAGCAAGCCAATCCATTCATTCATTTCCTCTTACCCCAGAGTGTCTTGACACAAAAATGAAACTGATTCCTGTCAGACAAGATTTGAAGGTGTCTTGTGTTTTAGTTAGGGAAGTCTTCATGACTAAGTGGTTAAATAATTTGCCTTGTGCTCCGAAGGTCATTGTTTCATTTCCACGACTGCATCATTCAGTTTAGAAGCACAATTTTTATGAAGATTCCTGGGGATTATTTCTGGAGTTCATGCTTGGTGCAATGTTCTCGACAGGTAGCAAATTTTTCTGAGAGGAGAAACTGAGCCATATGGGATAAAACCTGGCACTATAAAGTTTATCTTCTAATGTTTAAACTCTTTAAACTTTAGTTAGTCAACTACATGTAAACTGATGTATTAAACTTTGCAGGTAAAAAAATCTTTGAAGGATATTACAAGGGCCATCCACATGAGACCTGACATGCATCATTACTACAGTTACAGGGTAAATTTAGCATTTTTCTCTGGTCTGTAGTGGCAGTGACAAGATGAATTGGCTGGCTTCTGAAGTGCCTCATTTGGGCTATTTGTTAATGGGAAAAAAATGTCAATAGGAAAAAAGAAGACAGATCTAAACATAACAATAGAATACAAAGACATTAAACAGGCATCTGAGTTTAAATATCTGGGAACTACATTTACCGAAGATGGGAAATTGGATAAAGAAATTGACATTAGATGCAGTAAAGCAAACCAAGTATTGGGACAGCTAGCCCCCCTCTTACAGCATAAAACAATCCCAGCCAGCACAAAGAGACATCTTATTCAAAGCATATTTATTCCAACTCTGTGCTACCAGTGCCAGACATGGTCACTCACAACAAACCATAAAAGAAAATTAGTAACCACGGAAATGAGATGTCTGAGAAGGGCTGTAGGAGTGACCATAAGAAATAAGATCAGAAATTGGTTCATAAGAGAACAAGTCGGCACAGAACCAATTTTGGATTACATACAAAGACAGCAAGTGAAATGGTTTGCCAACTTAGAGAGAATGCCTTGTGACACCATACCATACAAAGCATACATGGGAAGAGAAGAAGGACGTAGAGCACGGGGTAGACCAAGAACAAGATAAAAGAATAACATCAGAGAAACTCTACAACAGCACGATGTGCCTATGGTCGAGGCAGCCAGAAGAGCTAGAAACAGAACCTTATGTGGCGCAGTGATTTATGTCACAGGCGTGAGGGGAAGTTAAGTCCAACATGATGTGTATAAGGAGATACTCCGTACGTCACTCGGGCGCCAGTCCTTTACTATCCTGGCTGTACGGAACCTCACGCAAGACCCCTACAGCACATCCTCTTCGTGCGCCACGGATAATGTCTCAAATGAGCATTAACAGAGCTGTCAGGGGATCTCGGAGTTCGGCGGCCCCCAGAGGTGATGTGTCCTTGTGGCTCTCATCAGCCCGCCCCCAAACGCTTGGGTGAAAAATGTTATCAAAACTCATTAGGAACATGAGTAGGTTTGCCAAACGTACAGCCAAAATGACAACCCTTGGTTAAAAGACTGCGGAGTAAAGAGAACATTGTTCACTGCACATCCTCTGTTAACCCTTAGTGTCGTCGTCGTCGCAACCATCCATAGGCTGGCCATCCTTGTACATCCTCGGTTAACCCTCAGTGTCGTCGTCACCGCGTGAGGTACACCACAACAGCAACCATCCATAGGCTGGCCATCCTTGTACATCCTCGGTTAACCCTCAGTGTCGTCGTCACTTGGATGGCGGGGAATGCCCATGATCTGCCCCTGCCTTCCCTTGAGGGCTAACTGCGGCGAACTCCGGGGGAGACAAAGTGGACACCACACAAATCAGGCAACGTCTCGACCCACACAAAACAATGGCCACAGTCACCCTAGAAATAGGCCTGACGTCTTCCTTCCAAGTCGGAGTACAGCTGCCCATGAGGCAGGGAAATGAAAAACGGTTGTACACGCAAAAATCAGGTCCAGGTGAAAGCCAAAAGTCCAAGCGGATGATTAACCTGGACCTTCCACTGGAATTCACAGCCGGTAAACGATAAAAAAAAAAAAAAAAAAAAAAAAAGAACCTTATATCTCCTTCGACACCCACAGCGGTAAAAGAGGAAGTGAAGAAGAAGAAGAAGAAGTTAATGGGAACATTTTCACTTTTTCAATGTTTAGGGAAAGCTATGTGTAATGAAACAGCAATCACTGCGGTGATAATGCAGTGTTAAGAAACATAAAATATAAACTGCAGCTAGTGCTATTTGTTGAATAACATGTCATGCAAGTAGATTAATTAATGGTCTCTTTTTTGAAGTCAGAGTGCCTATGCGTTAGAAGTGAGGAATCAACAGTCTGCTTACAAATAAGACAGATCTGTAACATGAATATGTATACAAAACTCAAGTTCTGGAACAAGATTAAGAATTCAGAAGTGGATGAACACCCAGAATTTTCCACTAAAGTTTACAGCTGGTGAAAGCTAAGAAGAAGTAGAGTATATGTTGTTAGCTATGTATGGAACTAGGTCATAACCTCTGGAAACTGGGAAACTCAGAAACTTGAGGTCCCTGCCTCCCAGTAACATTTTGTGGGAGCAAAACCTCTTCTCTACCATATATAAACATTCTCTTTTTAACTCTTTGAGTCCCAAGGAACGTATCATACGTTCATATGTTCCTAACTAGAAGCCCAATGAACGCATAATGTGCCAATTTTACGTCTCTTTTGACTACCTCTTGGGCCTCTGATGCTAAACCCCCCTGGGATTCAAAGAGTTAAGCATTTAATATTGTTTCAAGTTGAATATTTTTATTAACCTTTCAGCATACAAAAATAGCAATAATATAAAAACATCTGTTTATTTATTATATAAATTTTTGCATTTCCACATAAAAAAAAAAAAATTAGTAATTATTATTACACAGTCAACCAAGGCTTAAATCTCTTGAGGGGCCCCAATAATTTTCTAAAGACGGCAGTCAAAGATTGTTTAGCTACATCCTGGATGTGAACTCTCTCAAACTGCCATTAGTCTATCTCTTGATGATGTTCTCCCATCTGCTTTGTTGTCAGCCTCTTGCTCTCTTGCCTTCAGCTGTTTCCTCCATGGTTTTAAAAGAGTATTATGTCTTTTAATGTGGTCAGAAGATTTCATTTGCCTCTTTTCTCTGTCTTTCAGCAACTCTTTTTTTTTTCATTCCCAGGCTCTTCAGCACCTCTGTACATAAGTGTTTTTGTTTTTATGGCTGCATTCAGTGCATTAATAGAATACAATAGTGTATAAGTTACGTTAATTCATGAAAATATGTAATAAGATAGTTTTGTTAATGGTGCATTCTTTCATCTCTCAGGGTCAGTATTTACTGGAACTTGGTAACCATGACCTGGCAGCTTTTTGTGTGCATCACTCCGCACAAATGAGTTTGGATAACTCCTCTGATGCTTTTGGAGAATCGCCTACCCAGCAGGCAGTGGTGCAGACTTTCCTGAAAAATTATGATAAGGTGAAATGCCAACGAGAAAAGTAAAATAATAGAAAAGATTTTGGTTTACTTGTAAATTTGGAATAAGAAATTTGATGTAAGAATTGCATTTATTGTTGCCAGTTTGCCATATACTAGGGTTGATAACTACTATTTTAGCTCTACATTTTGATAGATTTATTAATACAGTACTGTGTCTGATAATGAATGTCTTTTAACTATCGTTAATTTTTAAATCTAAACTCTACAGATCATCTGTTTACTTTCTTTCTGCATCAGTTATTGTCTTTTCCACCTACACTGAAGGTGAATTCTCATGTTTTTATTGTTACTAGTTTAGCTTTATGTTTGCTACTTCATCATCATGTAGCAGGTCCTTTGCGGAACGTCGCTCTCATCACAGTCTGCCTGAAAGAAACTCGGTTTCTCGTTAGTTCTCCTGCCTCATGCACTTTCACACTCAAGGAGTCACTTTCATAATGATATCCCACTCCAAGTCGTGGAGTCGTACATTTACTTGGGCAATAATGTAGATAAAAATGGGGGAACTGATAGAGATATTAAAATACAAATACAAAAGGTAAGAGGAGCTTTCATAGCACTATAAAAATTTGTGGAGGTAAAAATAAATTTAAACTGATATTAAACTTGAAATTTGTAATTCTAATGTCAAATCAGTACTGTTTTTTAGACCGGAAACACGGAGAACGACTAAGGCAGTTACAAATAAACTACAAACATTCATGCGTGCACAGAATAGAGAGAATTAAATGCTATAATAGAATCACTAATATAATGCTTTGGAGAGGACACACGTTCAGAAAACCTGAAAACAATATAACTAGAATGTCTTTGCAATGACACTCACAGGGACATAGAAGTAAAGGAAAACCACAAATCACACATAGAAGGGAGCAGAGAGCAAAGTTAAAAAGATGACATGGGAAGAGCTGCATGGGATAGCGAAGGATAGAATGGCTTGGCATGGGTTGAGTTGAATTGAGTTGAGTCAAGAACTGACATCCAGCATTCGGGGCATTCCCATATGCAGTCTGTCCCTGTCTTTAGCAGCCAGCGCAGAGTTCCAATACTAATGGTACCAGTATTAGTCTGATTAGATGTCCATCTTTCCTTTCCTCTGAGCATAGTGAGCTGGCCAGACCCGCTGGTCACACCCAGGTGGATCATTCTCTCCAGGCCATAATAATCTAGTTTAGTTGGTTGACATGAGTTAGTTGAGGGCCTATACTCCATTGGGAGTTAAAGGGCAGAAGAAGAAGTTAATATTCATGCTAAACAGAAACTGCAGATACTCTGATACTGACTTCATAATATCTCTTGTGTCCAGGCTATTGAGGTCCTGAACCTGGCAACCAGAACAAAGCCAATTGCTCCTTATTTCATGCTTCTGGCAAGAACTCACATGAAGGCCATGCAGTTTCAAGAAGCAGTCAACAGTTTTAAAGCAGCACTTGACAAAATGGTATAACTTTGTTCTTACTTTCACTCTGATACTATGCTTGTTTGCATTCAAGCTATATTTTATGCAAGGGAAAGATTTAATGTTGAAGAATTTTGCCCAGGTTTATCACCTGGCTTCCTGTTTTAGTTTCTTACAATAACTCATCTATTTTTCCATGACAATTCTGTGTCGTTGGGTCAGTGTGTTACTGTAGACTGTTTGATCTTCCTCTTCTTCTTCACTTCCTCTTTTACCGCTGTGGGTGTCGAGGGAGATATAAAGTTCTGTTTCTAGCTCTTCTGGCTGCCTCGACCATAGGCACATCGTGCTGTTGTAGAGTTTCTCTGATGTTATCCTTCCATCTTGTTCTTGGTCTACCCCGTGCTCTACGTCCTTCTTCTCTTCCCATGTATGCTTTGTATGGTATGGTGTCACAAGGCATTCTCTCCAAGTGGGCAAACCATTTCACTTGCTGTCTTTGTATGTAATCCAGAATTGGTTCTGTGCCGACTTGTTCTCTTATGATCTCATTTCTGATCTTATCTCTTATGGTCACTCCTACAGCCCTTCTCAGACATCTCATTTCCGTGGTTACTAATGTTCTTTTATGGTTTGTTGTGAGTGACCATGTCTGACACTGGTAGCACAGAGTTGGAACTTGGTTTGCTTTACTGCATCTAATGTCAATTTCTTTATCCATTTCCCATCTTCGGTAAATGTAGTTCCCAGATATTTAAACTCAGATGCCTGTTTAATGTCTTTGTATTCTATTGTTATGTTTAGATCTGTCTTCTTTTTTCCTATTGACATTACTTCTGTCTTTTCAGTGTTGATTCTCATATTATTTGTTTTACATTCTTCATTCATGGATGTTAGATGTTGTTGCAATTTCATGGCTGTATCTGCTATCAAGGCCTGGTCATCTGCAAAGAGTAATTCGTTGATCTTACTAAGATCTTCATTCATGGGCTTGGCATTCTTGCATATACTGTCGATGTAGGTGATAAACAACAGTGGTGATAAGACACACCCCTGTCTTACTCCAGATGTCACTGTGAAAGGATGAGATGTTCCCTGATTTATTCTAACTACACTTCTACAATCCCTGTATAAAACTTTTGCACACTTCGATGAGGTGTTCGCTTACTCCATATCTTGCCATTATTTTCCATAATAATTGTCTGTCGACTCTGTCAAATGCCTTCTCCTGGTCTACGAAAGCCACAAATAAGTTCTTATTGTATTCAATGTTCTTTTCTATTAACTGTTTAAGTGTGAAGATTGCATCTGTGCAGCTTCTATTTCTCCTAAATCCCATCTGTTCTTCTGCCAGCTGTGGTTCTATCACTGGTCTCAGTCTTGTTTCTATTATCTTGGCATACATTTTGCCAACATGGCTTAAAAGAGAGATGCCTCGATATTGACCGCATTCTCGTTTGCTTCCTTTGTTCTTCCACAATGGTATAACTATTGCATGTTGCCAATCAATAGGGGCCGTTTGTTGTACCCATGCTGCATTGAATATTCTGTGAAGCCATCTGATGCTGCTTTCACCTGCTGCTTGAATTATTTCTGTTGGTAATCTATCAGCTCCTGGTGCTTTATATTTGGGAGACTGTTTAATGACTTTTTCTATTTCATCCATTAGTATGTGTGGTTCTAACACTGTTGCTCTGTGCTCTTCAGTTGTTCTTTCCTGATGATCTCCTAGAGGATTAAAGAGCTCATTGAAGTATTCCCTCCATCTTTCTGCAATCTCGGGTGGATCTATCAATGGCCTTCCTGTCTTATCATTAATTATTTCAGTGGGGTTGTAGCTCTCATCTCTTTTCCGCATATTTTTAACCACTTTGAAAAATTTTCTGCTGGCTGTTTTCTCATTTTCTGCTAGTGACTCACCGAAACGTTCCCAGGATGCTTGTTTTGCTTTCTTGACACTCCTGTTGGTTTCTCTCCTTTGCAGTCTATAGTTTATATATTCTTCTTCTTTCTTTGATTTTATCCACTGTTTATATAAGTCTTTTTTCTTTTTAATTGCTTCTTTTACTTCTTCGCACCACCAAGGTGAATATTTGTTATTTCCCCGTCTGTTTCCACTCTTCCGTTTTCCACATAATTCTTCTGCAATACTAAGCATATTGTTTTTATATATACTCCATTATTCCTCAATATTGCCAACTACATGTGGAAGTTGTTTGAATGCTGTCTCTACTTTCTGTTGTAACTGTTCTTTTACTCCTTCCTGTTTCAGATTTGCTATCTTGATGAGATCCTTGTTTTTGTTTAATTTCTTTCTGTGTTTCTTTAATGTAAGATGTTTTGCTGTTAACACAACTATTTTATGGTCAGTGTCACATAGACCATTAGGGATTGCTCTTGAATCAAGAATTCTCCTTCTTCCCTGAACTCTGGTAAGTATAAAGTCAATCTGGCTCTTGATGGAGATATCATTCCATTTGTACCAAGTGTAAAGTTGTGAATCTCTATGGTCAAAGAATGTGTTCGGAATAAAAAGATTGTGCTGGCTGCATAGAACCAATATTCTTTGACCATTTCCATTTCTAGCACTGTTCTTAGCTGCATATGGACCTAAAAATTGTTCGTATTCTCTTCTGTTATTTCCTACCCTCCCGTTGAAGTCACCCATTACATATAGTATGCTGTTTCCCTCAATTTTCTTTATCTCATCAGACAGATCGTCAAAGAATTCGTCTTTCTGCTCTTCTGTATAATTAACATTGCATGGTGCATATATCTGTATATATGTTTCAGCTTGTTCTCCTCTTTTAATTTTCAAAGTAATAATTCTATCTGAGTGATAATGTATGTCTAATATGTAGTTAGATATGTCTGGATGTACCAGGAAACCCACTCCATTCTTCGATGTTTCTCCTCCTGCATATGTTAGTAAGTAGCCTCTGTGTATTTTCTTATTAATATTTCCCTTGCGTCTTATGTCAGCTAGCCCCATTAACTTGATTTTCCTTTTTTCCATCATTTCAATAATCTCTTCACTCGTAGTCCCTTAACATTGCCATGGTCAGATACTGTTTGATCAGTCCGTTTATATCTCATTTTGATTTTTGTAGCGGTAAAAATCCATTGCCGGCTTGCTAGGCCTGTCGCAACTTCACCAGAGCCCCGTTGGCCAGGACGTTTCGGGGTGACCCAGGGTGGCCTTCATGGCTACCGAAGCGGTCCCGTGGCACGAGGCCACACCATACTTCGCCCACACCTAGCAATCCCCTACTTTGTCCTGTTACCACCTCTCACGATGAGGACGTGGGGTTGGTCTTTTAGAGGCATTGTTTGATCAAGTCTTTCCATTTATAATTATCTGTTTTCCTGGGTGTGATGTTTTATTTTTATTATTTTTATCTGGGACTTTCTTGATCTGCCTCATCTTATCTTCCATTATATCAAACCATTCAAAATGGTTTTAAAAGAATAGTATTTTCTGAAAGATTTTCCTCCACTATTGCTTTTTATAGTATTACCTAAAATCCTGTGGATGAGAATCAAACAGGTACAAATCCAAGAAATCTTGTTTGTCCATATAATACAGTTATTTTAGGGTACCCTGTGGTTATAAAGAAACATGCAGTAGTCCAGTGTGGGTGTGGGTTAATGTGGTTTTGTGCTTTACCTGTTCACACCGGTGCATTTTACCTCTTTTTATTGTTTTTAAATAGGATTTATAGTTTTGAAAAAAAAAGTCTTTAAAAAAAAGCAAATGTATTTACTACTTTTGGGGGGGGGGGGGGGGGGGGGGGGATTTAAGACCACATGGCTAGTTCTGTCACTTCAGAATGTGCAGATTAGGATTTTTTTTTTTTGGGCTCTTAGGAAAAAAATCCCTTACTTGGTCAAAATTCAAATCCAGGTCCTCTGTTCCTCCTTTATAATTGCCAATTTGGTTAAGTTAATTTAAAAATAAAAATATTTTCACTTGAAGACACTTGGTTACAGCAGTTATGGTTGAATCAGGACTGCCAATATTATGTTCAGTGTGAATGTTAATGTAACATTTTTTCAGCCTATGTCAAAAAAAATTACGTAGATGAAATCAGGAACCAATGGTACAAAGTAATTAGTTCCATTGCTTACTTAAAAAGAAATGGTTTGGGTTCAGTAATTTATCACTGGCAGAAATTTGTTCAGTCTTTACAAATCAGTTTTGTAAAATGCATACCAGAATATTTTCAGAACTTCTGGAAATTATTTGGCAAAGAAAAGTGATGAAACATAGATCTAGTTACTCCACACCATTATGCAGCAACCTAACACTTCACATTTTTGTGACTATCTGGCATAATATCACTTTCAACTCTTTTAGTCTTAAGGAACGCATCACACGTTTATAGGGTTCCTGCCTAGAAGCGCAGTGAACGCACGCAGTGAACGCATGATGCATGGATTTTACATCTCTCTTGACTACCCCCTTGGCCTCTGATGCTAAACCCTGTGGGACTCAAAGAGTTCAGTAGGAAAAAAACCGATATGCCAGTGTGGTGGAAAATGAACAGGCAAATAGACCAGCTGATTTTGCTTGCTCAACTTGATAGTGAACTGATGCATGACAAACTAGAGTTTGTTAGGGCCCTTTGGGGTCAGTGAACAGTGCTGAGGCATAGATTGATCCTGCAGTCTGAGAACAGTGCTGAGGCATAGATTGATCCTGCAGTCTGAGAACAGTGCTGAGGCATAGATTGATCCTGCAGTCTGAGAACAGTGCTGAGGCATAGATTGATCCTGCAGTCTGAGAACAGTGCTGAGGCATAGATTGATCCTGCAGTCTGAGAACAGTGCTGAGGCATAGATTGATCCTGCAGTCTGAGAACAGTGCTGAGGCATAGATTGATCCTGCAGTCTGAGAACAGTGCTGAGGCATAGATTGATCCTGCAGTCTGAGAACAGTGCTGAGGCATAGATTGATCCTGCAGTCTGAGAACAGTGCTGAGGCATAGATTGATCCTGCAGTCTGAGAACAGTGCTGAGGCATAGATTGATCCTGCAGTCTGAGAACAGTGCTAGGAGGAGTGGCCAGGCGATCTCAAAAACTCAGGGTAAGACAGATATTCAGTCAGACTGACTCAAGTTTTGTGATGTCAGTTCTTAATTAAACATTAAACATATCTATCACTTTTATCTTTATAAATAAAATGTTCCCTTTTAAAAACAATGTGCTGGTAACTAAATATTATGCCGGGAACTAAACAATATGCAGGGAACTAAATAAATTGATGGTAACAAAAATCCTTGTGGTATTTGAACGAAACGATCTCCACCTGTACTCTTTGTTTATTGAAAGAAACCCTGGCAGGCAGGGGAGTCGTGGCCACCAGAGACAGCCGATGCCCATTACCTAACTGGTTTGTGCTACATGGAGCTAGGCAGCTACAGTGAAGCTCTTCAGCATTTCAACCTGGCCATCAAATTTAATCCATCATGTGCTGATGTGAGTATCCACACCCAAAAAAAAATTTTGTGTTTAAACTTCAGTTCATCATCATCATCAACATCATCTTTGACGTCTTCTTCATCATCATCGTCTTTACCTTGCACCATCATCATCATCATCATCATCATCATCAGCAGCAGCATCATCATCGGCATCACAATCATCAATCATCATAATCATCAAATGAATGAAGAATGAATGCGTGGATTAAGAATTTAAATCACAGTCATTTCCACACTGTCCCCTTCCTCAACAGCCAATGAATAAATTATATACTGATGGTGCCAGTTGAAGTCTTATTAAAAGTCAACCTATACTTTCCCCCTACATTTTGAAAACTGCCCAGATGCTCTGCCTATCCCCCCCCCCCCCCCCCCCACTCAAATCAGTCTTTAGAGGTATGGATATTCTGTTTTGTTGCATTGTTCAGATTATCCCAGAGAGCCTTCACATGTCCAATTAATCATAAAGTAGCTCACCACCAAAGGAATTCCGGCAGCCAATTTATCAGCCTGCTTATTACCTAACACACCAGTATGTCTTTGGAGAAAATCCAGGATACGCACCTGATCTGAGTCTTTATTTTCTTCTTTATCATTTGCATGAGTGATGGTAATGTGTTGTACCTGTTTCATTTATAGCTGTGATATTTGCACCTTTTGGCTGACACATCAAACTTCTGGTATTTGTTTTCCGGGTTATCCTTTTCAGCTTTTCCTGTTAGTTTGATGGAATACTTGTAGTCTCTTATGTATGAGGACTTTGTAACATCTTGATCTTCAAGTGTTATCCTTAGAGGACCTATCAAAGGCAGCCACGTGCAGATTGGTTGGCTCTCAAAGAAAGTCAGGGATATTCATGGACTTTCCTCACCAGCCAAAGAGGCTTCCATAAAAGCAGAGCCAGCTCATGGCACTCTGGTACTGGGCTCACCCAGAGAATCGTCATGTCTTGAACATGACTACTCAATCTCATATCCATGCATTAAGCTTTCCAGAAATTACAGGTTGTGCCCTTTAGGGACCCCCAAGAAGCAGTCTGCAGACATGACACTTTCTTTCACTGCACAAATGGGCATCTCACTAACATAGCATATTAGACTTCTCTCTTTGACAGTGGCACCTTTCAACCACCCTTTTAAGGACAGATTAGGAAGAAGAAGATGAAAAAGAAGAAGAAGAAGCAGAAAAAGAAGAAGAAGACGAAGAAGAAGAAGAAGAAGAAGATAGAGGAGAAAAGGGAGGAGAAGAAGGAGAAGAAGAAGAAGAAGAAGGAGAGGAGAAGAAGAAGAAGTAGAATAAAAAGAAGAAGAAGAAGAAGGAGATACTAATACGGATTAATTGTTATCTCAAAGCCAAAAAGTTGTAGCAAGTTGAGAATAAGTATCATAAAACATATAACACAAAGTAATGTAAGTAAGTAAAAGTTTACATTCCAGGACTATACCCACTCAAAGCTGGGTTGACCTGGGAGCCAAGGTCATTTTTGTAAAATATAAAATGTTTGGTTTTGTCTGGACCTGAACTTACGACCTTCCAGTCCACAGCTGAACATATGGCCACTACACTCTAGCGGCTCCTATATGGTGCTAAACTCATGTATTTTAAAATACCAATAGGCATTCAATCTGGTCAAAAACACACTGGCTGCCTTTTACTTCTGAAGACATTTCCTGCTACCCAATTTAGGCTAGGTTGATTAGTGAGCTAATTTCTATTTAATTTTACTTGATTCACGCAAGACCTTCAGACCTGCTACCATTATGCTACCGTAGCTCCTTATTTTTTTCATTGTGATGTCTTTTACTTCTTCTTCTCCTTTGCCTTCAATAGCTGTAGACTCCAGCGGAAAGTTCTAGTTGCTCATCCACTTCTGGACATTAGTCTTGTTCCAGAAAAGTGGAAGTGGAACTATCCCCCCCTCCCCACCAAAATTTAGCCTGGAACCCACAAGGAGGATTTCATTTTGACTGAGTTAAACTGTTTTTTTCAGGCTTACTTCCAGCGAGGTCTGGCTTGTGTCAGGTTGCACAATATGAAGGGAATACTTGACTTCAACAGAGCATTGGTACTGGACCCCAAGATGTTTCAGGTAATGTATGAAAATCTGGTTTTAATCCTACCTTCTTCATTTATATGATTCATATTCAGTTGTTTTTGTTTTTTTCCTTTCCTGCTGTCAGTTTGAGAGATACAGAAAAAGAAATTAAAAAAAAAAAAAAATTGCCCTGATTAATATTCTGTTGTTTTTGTTTTTCTCCCATCCTGCTGTCAGTTTGGGAGATACAAAAAAATTTTTTTTTTTTTAAATGCCTATTGCCCCTTAACGTGCAACTAATAAAATGTTTGCGGAAATCAATGTGCTGGGTTTAAAGGCCCTGAAATTGCAGCCTAGCTGTAAATCACAACACGCCAACCACCCTTCTAAGAGCAAATGCAGAAGAACATTACCTGAAATGCATTTAAGGCTGGGTTGCCTTCGGAAGCAAGGTCATGTTGGAAAAAAATCTAGCTGCATAGGGATTTGAACCCATGACCTTCATTTCCACAGCAAGTGCCCCACCACCACGCCATGCTAGCCCCAGTATATATATATATATATATATATATATATATATATATATATATATATATATATATATATATATATATAATCTGATATAAATTTCAGCTCAAATAAGTATGGGAAAAAATATATCTTTGTTTCTTTCTCTAGGCATATCTCAGCAGAGCTTGCTATTATGGAATGAAAAGGAAATACGCCAAGGCCATCTTGAATTGTAATGAGGCCATCAAACTGCAACCTGAGAGTTTAAGAGCTTACCTTTATAGGTAAGCAAATAATGTGTATGTGCGATTTTGTACGTTGATTGACTGTATTGGGACTTCTCTAATCACAAATTGTGAGATAGACTTGGGAAATAAGTTATAAGTATTTCAAAGAAATATTTAGGAATCTTCATACGAGGTCGGGTGAGGAGCAAGAAAAATGATCTTCTTCTTATGCGTTCACATGCTGTAAATTCCAAGGGAATATTCTGGTTGTTTATCTACTCCAGCACTTTGGTCTTAACCGAGAACTTGAGTTTTGTTTTCAGATCAATTGTACAGATCTGGCCTATTTGTATGCAGACTGTTGGTTCATTGCCTTTCAGTCCAACTTTGAAAGAAACACCCCTAATTAGTCACCTTGTACAACATGCCTGTTGGGAGAGGGGAAAAAGGGGTGGGTGGGGGGTCAGTAGGTCTGTTCTTTGTTCTCCAAAATCGAGCACCGGAGCCCACAAAGGGTGCATGAACTTATGCTATAGTGTTAACTTATACTATATTACTGTTTTACTTGGGTTATAGATGTTGTAATCTTTCGTGAGTTACAGAGGCATTTCACCTTTATGGTGTTGCAAAATGTTGAACTATTTCTTGTAACCTCTCTTAAGTTTATCTTGGTTGTTAGAAACTCTTTTGTCTTGTCCACTGAGTTTTCCAGTCACAATTTGTGTTTTATTTAGTACTACATTGATCAAGAGTTTACTCTAATTGATTGTATTTGCACTTGTCTTTTCCATTTTCTCTGTTGAGCTTTTTTTTCTAGTCATATTTTGTGTTGTATTTTACACTTGGCTTTGTGTTTCATAAGAATGTAACCTTTTTGTGTTACAGAAGTTTAAAATCTTGCTTGTGTTACATTAGCATATAGCCTTTCTTCTGTTACAGAAGTTTGTAACCTTTCTCACTATACAGAAATGTGTAATTTTTCTGGCATTAGCTTATTCATTGAGTTGTATTTGTCTTGACTTTGCTATAATTACCATATTCTTCCATGTATACAATGAAATGTATTTCCCAATTTTTTTTCAAGTTTAAAATAAAATTGGGAATCATCTTAAACACAGAATATGTTTAAAATATTTATTTCCTAATTTTGGGCTTAAAAGAAAAACTAGGGGTTGTCTTCTACGTGGGTGACATCTTATACATGGAAAGATATGATATTTTCATCTACACATAATTTACATTTTACTATTATTTTCTGTTACCAGGGGATCCCTAAAATATCATATCAAAGCATATGAGCTGGCCCTACTGGATTTAACCAAAGCTGCATCTATTGACTCTCAGTGTGCTTTACCTTATTTCAATCGAGCAGTTTGCTACCACGAGACTGGGCAGTTTGACAGAGCTTTGACTGATTACAGTATTGTTTTGATGCTTGGAGGCATGCTTGAGTTGAAGGTGTAGTAGAGGTTTTGACTCCTTCATTGCTGATTTAAATTTCAGTTAATCATTTGCATTCTACAGAAACGTTTCATTAGTTGTTAGTCTTGGTTCCAACATTGCTGCAGATGGGTTGCTCTATATCTGCTTTGTTCCTGTGCCAGCGGCTATCATACAAAAATGTTCCTCACTGTCCTAGTTGAAAACCCCTGAAAAACCTGTCAGTCTAAGCAAAATATTGAAGCTTGCACATACAAAGTAAATGTTTATAAGGTGGCTTTCAGATGTGCCAATACTGATTGTCCCACACCAGAACTGCAGCTCACTGTTGCCTCAAATGATCAATCACGAAAGCCAGCAATGCACACACAAAAGTACACACCATTCTGAATGCAATCAGCCACCTGCCATTTTAGTTTAGAAAACAGCATGTCATGGACACAACAGAAAAAAACATACTACATGAAATCCACAGCTCACAGCGTCGCACCAAGCACTCAGCTCAGTAGCTGGGCAACGGAACCTTAAAAACTTATCAACGGTTATAGGACAAAGAAGATGACAATATATGTACATCCTCAGGAGGAATGGACAGACAGACACCAAAAGTGGTACTGAAACAAATGAACTAAGGAAATTATGACATGACATCCAAGAGAAACCCCAAGATGAATTTTGATAAGAGAGACCAAAGGTGCTGGACTGGATTTCATCCATGATATCAGTAAGGTTGTACATCAGAGATAGTAATGAATTAATAGATCGCCAACTCAATAAACAGCACAAGAGTATAGTAAAGACTGTACAGAAAGTTGGTCTTCTCTACTGTTTCATATAATCAGGTAATCGCAGTTCTAACATCAGAGCAAACTGGTCACCCTATAGCTGCTACATTCTTGTCCCCTCCCAAAAAAAAACCCACAAAGAATGTCCATCACTGTCCTTTGTTAACAAAACAAACGTTGACACAGACATCAGTCTCAGCAAATTCAATAGCATACACACATATTAAATGAATAAGGCAGCCATCAGAAGTGCCAACACAAACAGTCTGACACTAGAAATGCAGTTCGCTATCAATGGAAGCAACAGATCCTTAGTAGCAAATGCAATCAATTGCGTAAGGCACCATAAATTCTGTGTCAACAAGCCACTCTTCATTTTCTGAATCTGCAATTTACAGCACCAACCACATTGGGTGCAGTTTAAAAAAAGCATTCCAAATGAAATCTGCAGTTTACAGTGTCGTGCCACACATTCAGCTGACTAGCTGGTTGATGACACCATATCCTTTCAGTCTATCTGTGGAGGAAAATGCAAAGGCTACTAATTGTCGGAAGCAAAACAGTAAACCAGCTTATCTGCCCTATTGACTGAAAGTTATTTGTTTACTGTTTACACTTTACTAATTGATGTTCAGAAGTCATGCAAGTAAATAAGAAAAGTACAGGATCCATTCCCTTGCCATGAGAAGCATTGGGCAAATTGTGCTAGCCACATAATAATATGGATAAATCAGTATTTCATGCTTGATGTGGTGAATATCATATGGCCACCTTTATTTCCTAAAACATTTCATGGCAATCGCTGGGTCACTATGGCAGCCCAGGTCAATTTAACTCTTTCCGTACCAGAGATTCCAATGTTAAGGAACCATGATGAAAACACAGAAATGCATTTTTTCCCGGTGGCACTATACACAGTGGTAAATACATTGGAGAAGCCAGCTTTAAAAAAAAAATATGTTCTGGCTAAATGTTATTGTTCTGACTAAATGTTAATGTTCTGACTAAATGTTAATGTTCTGACTAAATGTTAATGTTCTGACTAAATGTTAATGTTCTGACCAAATGTTAATGTTCTGACTAAATGTTAATGTTCTGACTAAATGTTAATGTTCTGACTAAATGTTAATGTTCTGACTTAATGTTAATGTTCTGACTAAATGTTAATGTTCAGACTAAACATTAAATGTAAGAGATTACTTTATACTGTGCAGAGAAATCAAGGGATAATGTGTTAGACCTATGCATCATTTTAGGTCAACTGTACCCTCTGTTACCATCTTTTCCAGGCACATCCATAGGTGCTCAGATTTATTGCACAACATATACATAATCTTCTTTTTCTTCTTCTTCTTATCAAGTCCTATATTACTTTTCAGCATCAAGTTTTAAAGAGTAAGAATGTTTTATGTAAATACTGTTATTTATGGCCTCGGAAATTACAAAAATCCATTACTTTAATAGTCAAGCTGTGGGTCTCCTCCGTCCAGCTATGGGTCTCTTCCATCAAGCTCTGGGTCTCTTCTGTCAAGCTCTGGGTCTCCTTCATTCTGCTCTGGGTCTCTTCCATCAAGCTGTGGGTCTCCTCTGTCAAGCTCTGGGTCTCTTCCATTCTGCTCTAGGTCTCCTCTGGCCAGCTCTGGGTCTCCTCCATCAAGCTCTGGGTTTCTTCTATCAAGCTCTGGGTCTCCTCCGTTCAGCCCTGGGTCTTCCATTCAGCTCTGGGTCTCTTCCATCAAGCTCTGGGTCTCCTCCATTATGTAAAAGTGACAGGGCTCTCTGTCCAATGGTAATAGTTCCACTTGAATGCTGGTTGACAAGATTTTTTCCTAGTCTGGTGGTCTGCCTCTCATGGCTGTGCCAAGAAGAAGAAGAAGAAAGAAGATAAACGAGAAGGTTAAGTAAAGTCATTTCTAGTAACCTGTATGTTGACATATGGAGAGATTTATAGTTATACATTTAGGCAATGTATGTCACATTGCTATAAGCAAACATGACCAGAATTTATCTTAAAAAAAAAAAAAAAAAATTAGCTTGTGAAGAAAAAAGTGTCCTTTGGACATGTACACTAAGAATTGATGAATCACATAAACATTCATTTATGTTCATCTCTACTTGTGTTATCAAGGTGCTGATAAACCGGGCATTGCTGTATTTTGAAAGACAAGACTACATGAATGCCTTGTTTGACTTGCAAGCTGCTGCCAAACTCAGCCCTCAAGATCATAGAGTTCTCCACACTCTTGGCCTTTGTTTCCATAAGTGAGTACACAAGTGAAATCCAGAGTCTGTTCACAAAAGTATCTGTCCTGTGGTACAGTTGTTCATAATCATTGTTCACATGTGAGCTACTTGATGTAGTCTCCTTCTTCTTTGCATTCACTGACTGTAAACTCATGCATAAAGTTCTGGCTGTTCGTCCACTCTTTGAATTTGATCTTGATCTAGAACCTAAGTTTTGCATGCACATCTATTTTACAGATCTGACTTATTTGTGTGCTGACTGTAGGTTCCTTGCCTCCCAGGCATATGCACTCTGACTTTGAAGGAACCACCCCTAATAAGTAGTCTCTTATGACAATATTGTTAGGGGGGCAGTGGATTTATACTTTATTCTCTGAAATGGAGCCCCAGAACTGACATGGGAATGATGTTGTCTGATTAAAGCATAGCATTCTCATCATCATCATCAGGTGCCTTGCCGACTGGCGTTGGTGATCATGCCTATCCACAATCTGCGATCTCCTGCAGCATGTATCAGTTTGTGTGCTGACACACCTCCATGCCATGCAACAAAACTGTCAAAAATCTTCTCTCGTTGTCTTCGTCTATCCTTCCTTGCACAGATCTTTCCAATGTCACAACATGTTCCATTTTTCCTCTTCTCATAACATGGCCAAAAAATGATGACTGTTTCCTTCTGATGTCAGTGATAAGTAGTCTTTGGGCTCTTTTAAAACCTCTTCTGTGCATACCAAAAACACTGTCTCCTGCAGCACATGTTTTATGGTGTTAATGTTGACTGTTCCAGTAGCATCACACTGGTTAAACATGACATACTTACACTGGTTAAACATGACATATTTATACTGGTTAAACATGACATACTTATACTGGTTAAACATGACATACTCACACTGGTTAAACATGACATACTCACACTGGTTAAACATGACATACTCACACTGGTTAAACATGACATACTTACACTGGTTAAACATGACATACTTACACTGGTTAAACATGACATACTTACACTGGTTAAACATGACATACTTTCCTATAATTTTTCCTGTCTTACTTCGTCTTCATTTAATGCTAGTCTTCATTTAATTCTAAATTCCCGCAACATTACATATAATGTTTCATCTAACATCACATCTTCCATCAGCATTTGTCTTCAAAATGTTCTTGCCTTGTCCAGAACGAATGTTCTTGCCACGGTCACCTTTGAAGCAACAACCAGAAAAACAAAACCCCCACAAAAACAGAGAAAAAAACATTCTGAGCATTAAAAAACACACACACACACAACAACTCACAGCTGTTATTTGCAGTCTTTATTTAAATATGATGTATTTTATGTGTATAAAATGAGTTAAACTCTGTTTCAGGCTGAACCAATTGCGTAAGGCTGTAGCAGTTTTCACCAGATGCCTGGAGCTAAAGCCCTTTTTCCTTGATGGATTCATTGCCAGAGGAAATGTTTTCATGGATTGTGGCAATGAACAGGGTCTGAAATTTGCTAAGCGGGATTATCAGCGAGTACTGCATCTTGATCCTATGTGTTTGCCAGCACGTGTCAACTTGGCATATGCAATGCAAGTGTCTGGCAAAATGATGCAAGCCTGGAAGCATTTCACTTCTGTTATTGAAGTCAGGCCAGGTAAGAAATAATGATTTGTGTATTATATTAATTCCTAATTTAACTCTACAAGACCAAGCAATGTCTGATGTATGAATGACTCTACTTTTTGATTTCCATCAATAGCATAATGTGCTGTCTTACTTCTAACATTTGGTCAGAGCATATTTTAGAAATCTGGCTTTTCCAGTGGTCACTACTTGGGTGCATATTGCCACTTTGAAACTAATGGATTTATGAATTTTCATCATGATTATTTCTTCTTTGACATCTTCTGCAAAATCTTCTGCTACTGAAAGAATTAAGCATTGTAAACCTGTTGCACTCAGTTGGGAGCTGATGGTGGAGAGTCACCTGATGCACATGCTTTTCCATGCAGAGCAAGTACTGGCGAGCACCGTTTCAAATCATTTATTTGAAAATGTGGGCTATCTTCCAAATAACGGTCCCAAATTATCGGGCAGAAAATATACCCTAACAGGGCCTCAGTCACGTGTCAATTGTGAACTTCCAGGGACTATATCACCACCACCGAGAGTATCCCAGCGCCGCGTTGGCTGGGACTCACGAGCAAATAAAATGAAGGAAGCTACAGGAAATGCGGTAGCTGCTGCTCGTGAGTCCAAGCCATCTAGTTTGGCCCCAATCCACGCCACGTGAGCAACGTGGGGGTACTCTCGGCGGTGGCGGAATTGCCAGAAGTGCGCAATTTAAGTCGCCCGGAAATGCGCAATTGACACGTGACTGAGGCCCTGTTAGGTTATATTTTCTGCCTCGATAATTTAGGACCGTTATTCGGAAGATAGCCAAAATGTGTTTGTGAATTAGTTATTGTGTGGTGGTGATGTACGACAGTGATCTTCCCATCTTTCACTGGTTTGTCTGCTCAGCCTTGTTTTAAGAGACATTGCAGTACAGCAAGGGAAGAGGTTACCCAACAAGGCAGTCTGCATTTTTTTGGTCATGTGTGAAAGGGAAAACTGGAGTACTTGGTAAAGGAGGAGACGCAGTGGGATATAAAGATAAAAAATGTTGGACAGTTTTGTAGCCCAATATTTAAGAACATGGAAGACATTTTTATTAGAAATGATTCCCATTTTACGAGATAGATGTGATTGTGATCACCACATGATATAGATAATAAAAATAAGAAGAAGAAGAGCAAGAACAAGAAGAAGAAAATGAGAAAAAGTACTATGAGATTTGATATAACTGTTTATTAAAAAATACTAATCTTTATATAATTTATTTTCTTTATATTATTTTTAATTTATTTAAAACTATGATCACTACTATGTGATATTCATTTACATTTCTCCATCCCTCCACCCCTGTGCAACTCAAGGCTATAAACCTGCACTGGAAGGCAGAGCAATAGTAAACCTTCAGATGAGTAACATGTTCGGGGCTTTCCAGGATATCAGTCAGTCAGTCAACTATGGACCAACTGCTGAACTGCTGACAAACAGGGGAGTCATTAGCCAGGTGGGTTATCACTTCAAAGATGTACCATTAGGATTGCATGCACACACGCGCACACACATAGACATACCTACTCACTGATGTTATGTTATATGTTATGCTAGCACAGCCTACTTCATTGCAGACTGGATATTCCCATTTGTGCTCAGTCCTCCAATGCAGCACTCACAATTGTGCCTTTACTGATTGTTCCCATGAGAGGTTGGTAATAATGTCTCCTTTCTTGACCTCGATGATGGCATAGACTGGCTTTACTCCCATATGATGTATTCGGGTTAGTGTCAGAGACTTGTCATTGTCTACTGCCAGTCTAGTCCATACAGGATTGACGATATCAGCTCTGTTCATACTGCTGCCGGCTTATAATTATTGTCCAGCATTACTTTCCAGCAAGTCTGCTTACTCATTACCCCTTGCTCCAGCATTCCCAGGTGTGTAGATGCGGGTGAGACATGTTAATTAAGTTTAACCTCCTAATGCTGTCTACCCATTCAGAGCAGAGGCTGCCCGTTGTTAGTTTATGAAGCATGTTCACTAGAGGTTTATATCAAAAAGAAAAAAAAAACAGTAAAATATTAATGGGGCCAAGCAACATAATTAAAATATGGACAGAGTACTTGAGGGATCTGTATGATGATAATAGACAAGAAGTATATTTACAGGACAGCAATGAAGGCCCACCAATACTGGCTGCCGAAGTTGAGGATGCATTGCATCACATGAAGAAAGGGAAGACACCTGGTCCAGACAACATCATATTGGAATAAATTGTAGCTTTGGAATATTTTGGAATGGAAACAATTACAAATTGTTAACTGACATTTATAGCAGTGGGTACATCCTAACGACCTATTAAAATCTTTATTTATTTCTCTGCCAAAGAAACCAAGAACTTTAAAATGTGAAGACTGTCGTACCATAAGTCTTACGAGTCATGTGACAAAAATGTAATAATTATGAGAAGAATAAGAAACAAAATTAAACTAGAAATTAGTGAAGATCAGTATGAATTTGTAGAAGAAAAAGGTAAAAAAAATGCCATATACATCCTCAGAACTCTTTTGGAAAGAGCTATAGAAGTAGAGAAAAAAATCTTTACTTGTGCTTCATTGACAATACAAAAAAAGCATTTGCTTGTGTGAAACATGAAGAAATAATCAAACTATTGGAAAAATTAAACATTGATGGAAAAGATATTTACGAATTATAAAGAACATGTATTCGCAGTGAATATGAGAATATTGCAGTAGCCATGAGAATTGATAACCATTTGGGAACATTTCAGAGCATAAAGAGGGGAGTACGAAAGGATATGTACTATTACTTGATGTGTTTTCATTTTACAATAAATATCTAATGAGATCTATCATGGGTATGTCAAGAACTATGGTTGGTGGTCATAACATAAATACATTGTCTTGATAGCGACAAGTCAGAAAGAATTACAGGAATTGATAGATACCTTGATGGTAAAAAATGATAAAATGGGCCCCAGTTTGAATAATGGGAAACAGAAGTAATGGTGCTTTCCAAGAATAGAATAGTGCCTAAATGTATAAAAAAAGTCAAAAGCATTATTTAAGGACAAGTACAGAAATGTACATGGATAACATGCAATGGAAGATGTATCACAGAGATAAAGAACAGAATAGGGCATTCCAAAAGTGCATTTTATAAAATAACATGTTGTGCAATAAATCCATGTCATTGGATGTTAGGAAAAGAATTCCCACATACTTAATAGAGCCAGTTTTAACATGCGGCTATGAATCCTGGGCAATTAAAAAACATGCCAAAAAATATCTTGAGGCCTCGGAGATGTGGTTTTACAGAAGAATCCTTAGAATTCTTTGCACAGCTAAGAAGAGCAACCCAGATGTTTTAAAAGAGGTGAGTGCTCAAATACAACTTATCACAAACATCAGAAAGAGACAGTCATCATTTTTTGGTTATGTTTTAATGAGAAGAGAGAGGGGTCCATGGCTAAGGCATTGCGAGTCCGACTCGTAATTCCAGCGTTTTACGATCAAAACCCACTGCTGGCTGAGTGGATTTTTATCATGGTATGGGGTGTCGCAGGTCAACCCAGCCTCAAATGGGTATCAAGATGGCTGTCCTAGGAAAGTAAAGATGGCCTGTATAATGCTGACCACATTACCCACATATGGCCAATGGTTTGTAAAAATATGGGCACTCTTCCCAAATTCAGGGAGCCGCGTAAAAAGAGATCTTTACATTTGTTTTTGTATTTGTTTATTTTTTTTTCTTATGAGAAGAGGGAAAATGTAACATGTTGTGACCACTGGAAAGATTTATGGAAAGAGAGACAGAGGAAGACAGCATGAGAAGATTCTTGACAGTCTTTTGTCATGGCATGGAGGAGTATCAACACACGAACTGATAAACGTAGTTACAGATTGCAGATTGCAGAAAAGCATGATCACCCATGCCAGTCAGCAAGGCATTGGATGGTGATGATGTTCATTTGATATGATCAGTGCATATATGGCTGCATCTACACATAATTCAACATAGATACACACACAAAGATGCACAGACATACATCACGACTCACAAGAAAGTATATTTCTGCATTACCCTGTCTGGTCTTCAGGTTGCTTTGTAACCGTTGGGGGCCCCAGTATATATAATCTTACATTTGATTTGTGGGGTGACCTGTTTGCTATGAAGCTGAAACTAAGATTACCAAGATTACCAAGTTGATTTGTACTTGGGGAATTTCTCATCCAAATAGTGACACTTTGCACTTTCTGTCACCAAATGTTAACTGCTCAGTATGCTGTCCTAGTATGGTTCAACTTTACTCGCAGGAAAGCTTTATATTTAGATCTAGTGTTCACAGTCATATAAATATTTGAACTTATGTATCTAATCTTGTATGTGGTTTTAAAATGTGCTTGCCTCTGATTGAACAGTTCATGGGAGACATATCTATGGCCATGCAAGATTACCAGAGAGCCATCAAGCTAGACCCTACCTACTCACTGGCCTACTTTAATGCTGGAAATGTCTACTTTTATCACAGACATTTTAAACAGGTTAGAATTTTCTTTATTTACTTTTTTTAGATGTTACTTGCTGATCTCACTTCAGTGTGTAAGTTTGCCAGGGTTTAGTGAAGCATGATTGCGCAGTGTTATTCATGATTTGGTTAAAGGGGTGAGTGTGAACATTTAAGCCATGTAAAGTTTTGAAACACTTGTTTTGTATAGTTTTGTACTACAAACATTATGCTTAAAAAAAGGTAAGCTGCTTGCTTTTGTTGACGTTCTTGCCTGAGAGGCAAGAAACCAAGTTTCTGCATACAAATAAGCCAGATGTATGAAATGGATATGCATGCAAAACTCCAATTCTGGAAGAAAAACTAGAAGTCCACAAGTGAACAAACAACCAGAGCTTTCTGGTAAGCACCAGGAAGAAGAAAAAGAAATTGGACCACTGTCTTGGCAGGCAAGAGCACTGACCAGTATATGACCACAGCTTATGCCTGATATACTTGAATTCACTGATCAAATGGTCTATGAATGTTGGTTTGGTAATTAATGTGGTCTCCCAGATCTCCCTGGAAGCTGTGGTGGCTGGTTGCTCTTCTGCAGATCTGAAGGTCATGGTTTCACATCCTGGCGGAGCTTGACTTGAAAAAAAAAATCTTTCAGATTCCCAGGAAAGTAAAGGCAGCTGGAGTGATGTTGGCCACATTGTCCACCGAGTTTAGCCCTATCTGCCCAGTGCATTTCAGGGTTTGGAAAAGGGTCCTTTAATTTTTATGGGTCCTACCTCTCCCAGAAACAGTTCGTCTACCTATTACTTGGGGCTAAGTATACAGTTTGTTTGTTTTTTGTCTGGAATAAATTAAATGATTTCCTCCCTAGGCCTTGGATTATTACACAAAGGCTGTAAAATACAACCCAAAGGATGAATCTGCTTTTCTCAATCGTGCCATTACTAAGGTAAATCCATGTTTTCATTTTGGAATATTTCCTTTTTATTATTTCCCCTGAAAATCTTTAAAAAACAAAAAAAAAAAACAAAAAAAAAAAAACATCATTACACATTATCCTTTGACATCTCATTTTTATTCAATTATTTATTTTTATATTTCTGTATGTGATCCTTTTCTTTTTTGAAAAAATACTAAAGTTTTACAATAGTTGTTTTTATTTGAAACCTAAAGATATTTCTTTATTCCTTACAGTTATTGATAAAAAAAACATAATGGAAAGATATAAAACCGAACAAAAAGTAGAGTTTCACAATATATCAAACACAAACAAAACGGGAACGTTGCTGCTATAGAGCCTTCATCAACGCATACATAAATCAAACCCAAAAAAACTTTGATTTAAAAATCCTCATTTCTGTTGCAAAGATATTATGCTACCTTGGCTTCTTGACAAAACATTACTCCGTGAAAAACAATAGAAAGACCTCAAATCTTAAAATTACCAGGTTTGAAACAAACATAATCATTTAGAATATAAATCATTGTTCAACTGAAAATCTAGTGCTCTAATAATGGTGACCCTGCCAATTACCAAAAATAGGATAGTTGTGGTAATGATAAATTAAAATGTGTGTTGTCTTGTAAATTGGTAATATACTGATTAAACAAATGCCTTGTCATATGATAAAAATCTTGTCCATCCTTAGTCTTTTGTCTCATGTACTGCCAGTCATTTTGTTAATACAGATATTATTTCCTGCTTTGATACAGAACTAATATCTTCTCCAGTGATCTCCTTTTGCCTTTCTTCTTCCTAGCTGTTGTATCAACTGAAAATGGACTAACCATGCATTCTTCTACAAATATGGACTGAGGGGGCTTAACTTCTCACACAATTTTAGCTAATATTCTTGAGCTATGGCCCTTGCCATTCTAACCTTGTTTTCTGGCTAGAATTTTTGTCCCCTGTAGTAACACACATGTTAGAGATTCTTCTGACCATATAGATTTGTGATTTCTCTAAAAGATACTTCAGTTAAGTGATTTTATGTATAGTAATTACTTATTCAAAGTTGTGGTATTGTATATTCATGTATTGTGCTGATGACAGCTCTTTGCCTTTTGTGTTTGTGAAAATGAGAAGCTGAATGCTTGTGCTTTTCATGTTATTTGATATCTTTACATGATGCTTCTACAAACAGGTACTGCTGCATGACACCAAAGGAGCTTTGAAAGATTTTGCTGTGGCTGTGAAGCTTAGCCCACTCTCTGCCCACATCTATTTCAATAGGGCCAACTTGTATGCTTCTCTTCAACAGTATGACAAAGCAGAACAGGAATATACCAGAGGTTTGTGTCTAATATTGTGAAGCCATTGTTTACTGTAGCTGCAGTTTCTCATAATCAATATGAGGTGATAAAGAGGTCTTGCTCTTTCAGTCTCAAGTAGTTTTTAATTCAGTAGTGTCTGTGCTATCTTCTTTCTTCTTATTCTTCTTTTGTCGTTTCACTGATACCAGTTTGTAACCCAATGTTGTGGTTTTCTGTATTTGTCCTGTGCTTCTCTGGTGGCTTGAATGATAGATTTGTTAATCTTTTTTGCAGGTTTCAGCTACACCATTTATCTATCTCTTGCTTGGTCTTCCTATCGTGTTCCTCCCAGATGTTCTGCTGTAAAAAGTCTCATATGTAGTTTGGCCTGGCTGCATTCTCACTAGATGGCCAAACCAATTCATTCTTTGTCTGTCTATATAATCAGGACATGGTCTTATTCCAAATTCCTCTCTAATGCTGGTATTTGTAATCCTGTCTCTTTCTGTGTTGTTAGTGACCTTACGGTGACGGTGCCTTTCACATGTAATGATTTTCTGTTCTAGTGCCTTACTTATTGTCTCTGCTATGAGTTTTGTATATTAAACAGCTATTTCTTAGTCTCACAGAACTGAAAAATACAACTTTGTGATGTAATTAATTATAGTAGCTAATGCAGGATAGGGAGTTAACAAAGCATAGAAATGGGGCAGGAGAAATTCAGAAATGCCATCTAAGTAAAGAGTAACCAAAGAACTTGTAGTGAATTTTGTGGTGCTGAAAGAGTTAAAAGCTGTGAAGAAATGAAGAGGGGATTATCAACGAGGGCAAGATGAACTGCATGGCAATCTTTACTGACTTTATTTAAAACATTTTAGGGTATTTAGGACAGGGAAGAGCTGCGGAGATATCTAGATAATCTTAACATAGCAGCAAAAGCATAAAACATGAAAATCAGCATTGAAAAAATCAGAAGTTATGACAATCAAGAACAGAACAACTAATCAAGATATTCATAGAAAACTTGAGCCAGCAAAAGACTCATGTAACTAGGGGACATAATATTCTCCAATGGAACAAATTATTGAACAGATGTCACAAATTTTGCAGAACAAACATGGGACATCTGACACCTAAAGAGCACTATTCTGTACAATATTTTTACCAGTATTGTATTTTCAGTGCCAAGCGTAGACACCAAATGAGTTATTGTTGAAAAATAAGACCATGAAAAGTGTTCCATCAAGGCCTTGAATAGTTTCATTTGCTTGGTACCAGGTTGGCATGGCATTGCATAATGAAAGTGAAGTCACCAGAATGTTCTGAAGGAAAAAATGGTGGAAGCATGGAAAAGGAAGATTATTTGATGGGGATGAATAACAATCAAAAGACAGACTAAAAGAAATATGTCAGAGAGCACAGTGAAGACTAAGGACAGAAAGTGTCAGATAATCTTTTGTATCTTACCTTCAGTGCAGAATTGGCACTTTATGTTGATGTGATGTATAACAGTAGCATAACATAAATAATTGTAGTTTTAAATTTGCCTTACACCATAAGCTATCAGTTTTTATTGTCACCATAAATGATTGCTTTCTGTAATTTATGTTAATATTAGGAAGTCTGTGTAAGTCTCTATCATGAGGTAATTAAGCCATTTGCCTCATGCTATGGAGATTGTAGTTTTGGTTCTGGACATTCATTTGGAATGTGAATTAAGATATTTCAAACATCTATGGGGTTTGCTTCTAGAGCAGTAGAGTTTCAGCTTTATGCGACACTGTTGTGGACAACCAACCTCTCTATGAGAAGAAACAGTATGTGAGATAAGCAAGTGATTTCCACTTAGTTAAAACATGTACACACATTTTAAATTGGCAAATCAGCCATGTCCTCATGTGGATTGACACCTGAGACACATCCTCCAAGATTGTCACAGAAACAAAATATGAAGGCAAAAACATTTGTCAAAGAGAAACACCTGTGCAAGCCAAACTTTACGGGTTGCTGAGTAAATTACAAAAGACAGTGAAGTTCCTACAAGAGACAACATTGCACATATAGATAATCTATTTCAAGCTTATGAAAGAAGAAGAAGTTAAAACCTGCAGGCGCCTCTAATTTTCATAGGTTGGCCAGGACCCCATACCTTTTAATAGTTCTTCTGAAGAAATTATTATAATTTATAAATATTAGATAAGATTTTTGAAAATTAATATGATATTAATCAAATGTTTTCTCATTCTCATTCAGCTCTGGAGCTTAAACCAGATGATGCTTTAATGTTAAAGAAAAGAGCGGATGTCAGGGGCAAACTTGGAAAACAAGCAGATGCCATAGAAGATTATAAAAGAGCTGTGGATATTCAGACAAGACCCCATAAATTAATTAAAGCATAATTATCCGGACGTATTGAGTTGTGTAATATTTGCAGCAATTTACGTAAAGGGCTTAGAATCTTAAAGAAGAATAAAAAGAAGAAGAAGAATAGGCAGTATGATGTTCAAAAGCTAAAAACTGGGTTCAGTGTTAGCAATTTACTGTTCATCCAAAGGCAAATTTGATAAGAACTATTTTTGGCCAGTCTTTTGCTACTAAACATGGACACTTGCTACAACTTTTTCCTGGCAAGGTCCGGGAAGTACGGGCATCTGGCGTGATGCTGATCACATCACCATCTGTCCAGTACGCCTGCAGTCATGAAAGAAGTTCCTTTATGGAAAACAGAAAGAAACAACTAGTAAGAGATCATTAAAATGTAAAATCTAAAATCAGTCAAAGATTGTTTTTAAAAATCAGTATTGAAGCATGGGGGTATTATGAATAAAATCTGGGAAAATAAAATCAGGAAATTAAGAAGTGGATCAGTGCAGGACAAAAAGTTGTAGAGATTCATAAATCAAAACAGCAGAGATGAGCAGTTTTAGGTCAGCTGCCAAGTAACAAAACAAGATAAATTAAGGAAAGTTGACGAAGACTAGGACTGAAACCAGTCTTACAATTCATTAAAGAACAACAGATGAGATGGTCTAGCAACCTGAGGAGAATTCCTTGGTTCTAAATTTCACTTTAATGAAATACAAAAAAGTGTTCATCCTGGTGCTTATAATTGCTCTGTCAATAACGGCACCTGTGGTGACCAGAACAGCAGCAGCAGTTTCACAAAGAGACACCAGAAAAGACTGAACTAGTGTCGTCTAAATTCCCTGCTACACTGCCTAGAACAGTCCATGCCATGACTGTCTTTATCTGCCATATATGTACCCAAAGATCCTACCCTGCCACTAGTGGATAAGAGGATTGGTCATGATCCCTTATGATGGACAAATAAAAAAATTATAATTATTTTGTTAAGTGATATACAGATTTTCTTGCTTTCTTCTGTAAACAGTTTGTTTGTATACTTTTGTCTTTTTTTTAATGTGTGTCTGTTGTCAAGCATGGTAACATAATTGTGTAAATTATTTGTTGTTTATTTTAAAAAAAAGGATACTGGAGTCATGTTATGACAAATTATTTGTCATTAACTCATTGAGTCCTAAGAAACCCATCATACCTTCATAGGTTCCTACCTAGAAGCCTAATTAATGCATGATGCGCCGATTTTGTGTGTCCTTCTTTACTACCACCCCTTGGACCTGTGATGCAAAACCCACTGGGACTCAACGAGTTAATTTTTTTTTTATTAACAACAGTCCGTTCTAAAGATTGAAATTACAGTCTTGATACCTGCATATATTTTTGATAAGAAAAAAATAATAATGAGGGTAGGAATTCCCCAAGTAGTATTCAACAATAGGAAAAAATCTGAGAAACTGTACATCAATAAATAGTCTCTGTAGTTGAGTTGGAGTATTCAACAATAGGAAAAAATCAGAGAAACTCTACAGCAGTAAAATATCTCTGTGGTTAAGGTAGAGTTTTTAACAATAGGAAGAAATCTGAAAGACTCTACCACAGTAAAATACCTCTGTGGTTAAGGTAGAGTTTTCAACAATAGGAAGAAATCTTAGAAACTACACAGCAGTAAAATGTCTCTGTGGTTAAGGTAGAGTATTCAATAAAAGGAAAAATGTTTTAGAAACTCTACAACAATAAAATGCCTCAGTGTTTGAGCTGGATTATTCAACAATAGAATAAAATCTGAGAAACTAAAAGAATAAAATAACTCTGTGGTTAAGGTAAAGTATTCAACAATAGGAAGAAATAAGAGAAACTCTATAGCAGTAAAATTTCTCTGTGGCTGAGTTGGAGTATTCTACAATCGGAAGAATTAAGAGAAACTCTAAACAATAAAATGTCTCTGTGGTTGAGGTGGAGTATTCAACAATAGGAAGAAATAAGAGAAACTCTATAGCAGTAAAATGTCTCTGTGGTTGAGTTGGAGTATTCTACAACAGGAAGAATTAAGAGAAAATCTAAACAATAAAATGTCTCTGTGGTTGAGGTGGAGTATTCAACAATAGAAAGAAATAAGAGAAACTCTACAACAATAAAATGTCTTTGTGGTTGAGTTGGAGTATTCTACAAAAGGAAGAAATCAGAGAAACTCTGCAGCAATAAAATGTATCTGTGGTTTAGGTGGAATATTCAATAGGAAGAAATCAGAGAAACTCTACAGCAGGAAAATGTCTATGAGGCTAAGGTCGCCAAAAGAATACGAACTCAAATTTTTCATCTCCCTCCTAACCTGAAATGGTATAAGAGGAAGTGAAGAAGAAAGACCCATTTCATACCAGCAACACATCAGTCATATGGTGCTGTACACATATTTGTATAGGCCTGTCGGCACTAGGTGGTGTCATGGTCACAATTTTTCTTGCCAAGACCCATGGTACCCATTTTAAGGCTGAATCAACATGGTAGAAAAAATCAGCTTGAGATTTTAAAAATAATTAAAAAACAAATTAAAAAATACAAAAACAGACCTAATTGCATTTAAACTCAATTCTTTCAGTACTTAGGAGCCACCATGGTGTAGCAGCTAGATGCTCGCCTGTGGCTCAGAGGATCCTGGGTTCAAATCTGAAAAATGCCGGACTTTAAAAATAAAAGATGCACTTGGATTCCAGGTCGAACCAGCCTAAAATTGGCACGAGTTAAAGTCCTGGGAAGTAAAGGCTGCCAGCGTGATGTTTACCACATCAACCACAGAGTGCCAAATTGTCTATAAAATATAGGTCTAGCCCTATGTGCCCAATACGCCTGAAGGCGTGGAAAAGGGTCCTTTACTTTTACTTTACTTACCTTTAATTCACTTAGGAATGTACACCTGGAATTTCCCTTCATTTAATTATTAGATCAGAATGGAATTTCCCAGTCTCTGCAATACTTTTATAAATGGAATGACTTGCTGTGAGTTTTGATAATGTGTCAAATAATTAACATCTGTGAACATATATAATGTAAGGAGATGATTCAAGTAATCTCTGTTTAAATACAACATATTTCTCCCCTTCCTCCAAAGATACATAGACACACACATGCTTGCAGAACACACGCAAGCATGTTCACAAATATGCAAGCACACAACCCCCTTCCCCACCACTCCCCCCGCCACACACACACAAACTCAGAGACATTCAAGTTATTATGACCCTATTTATTCACACAATACATATTTACAATCTTTACAATGAGAAGGTGATAGGTTCGGGTACTGATGTAGCGGAACTTTTTTTAAAAATGAACTTGGCTTTCAGGTCATCCCAGCCTTGAGTTCGGTACCAGGCACAGTCCTGGAAAGTAAAGGCAGCCAGTGTGATGCTGATCACATCACCCATCAAGTGCTGTTTGGTCTATATAATATAGGTCTAGCCCTATATGCCTAATACACCTGGAGGTGTAGAAAGGGTCCTTTACTTTACATTTTACAAATATACACATTCTTTAAGCTTGTTATGTTTACAGAGAATTTTAAATAAAAAGCATTAGTAAATTCATTCAGCGTATACTTATGTATAGTAAATGTTGTATGAATATGAAATTCGCATATGTATAAATATTTGCCACCATATGAAATACCTTCTGTGTGGATTTTTTCATTCATGTTTGTGGTGTTGAATTCTTGTTGCTTTATTCATTAAGAGTTCTTGCTTTATTCAGACAAGACCCCATAAATTAATTAAAGCATAATTATCCAGTGTGGAAAGAGAAGGCAAGCTAAACAAACGTATTGAGGTGGGTGATATCTGCAGCAATGAACGTAAAGGGCTTGGAATCCTAAAGAAGAATAAGAAGAAGAAAAATAGCCACTGTAATGTTCAATAGCTTAAAACTGGGTTCAGTGTTAGCAATTTACTGTTCATCCTAAGGCAAACCTAATAAGATTGACGAGACTGGTTAAAATATTTATATGTATCTGTATATCATCATCCTTATGTTCTCTTATACGGTTTTAGGTGTCAAGGAAGATGGTTCCAGTTTTTCCAATACAAGCCTCCTCAACCATGGACACATTGTTGTTTTGGAGTGTTTCTCTTACGTTTTCTTTCCATATTGTTCTTGGTCTACCTCAGGATCCGCATCACCACATCATCTTTTGCAATATGCCATGTATGGTATGGTATCACAAGGTGTTCTCTGTTGAATGTTGGATTAAGAATCGACATCACAGCACTCGGGACACTCCAATAAGTGCTCAGTCACCATCTTTAGTAGCAAGTGAAGACTTCCAAATCCGATGGTACCAGCAACCATCTGATTGTATATCCATCTCATCCTTCCCCTGAGTGTTGAGCGTCAGCCAGATCCCCTGGTAACTCCTCGCAGCGCCATTCTCCTTTGACTGTAATGATCTATCTGCACCTCCGCACTGTTCACTCGCTCTTAAAGGGCCCTCACAAAATCTAACGTGTCTCAAATGACCTTGGCTTTCAGGTCAATCCAGTCTTGAGTGGGTACCAAGCACAGTCCTGGGAAGTTGTCACCTGCGGATATACACTAAAACACACCGATACTGACTGAGCAAATAGGACGTCAAAACAATACGTAATGTTGTTAGGACATTGGAATCTAGAGAATTCGGAATATAAAGTTTAAAGGAGAAAGTATGTGGTCGTGTCTCAGTGGATCCTTGAGGAAGTTCTACCACAGGATTCCACTTGGAAACCTCAGCCCAGAGCTGGTACATTAATTATTGCGTTCGACAGGAAGCCGGAATATTTAAAACTAATGAATCTCTCAGCCAAATCACTAAGGAGGGACATTGCCCTGTTATCTAGTATTAGACTGCAGATGAGGAGATCGCAGTGACCTCTTGGACTCTCAAGGTCGTACTGTTGACCGGTAAGACGTTGTTAGAAGATGTCTTTTAAATTTCTCTAGACGAGTGTGCGTGTGATAGCGAGTGCTTGGTGCATTTGGGCGAGTCTTTACCATTTATCAGGTTATTTGGACATTTTCTCATTTTGGATCAAAGTGTTTGTTAATACACCGATGTGATATCCTGTACATGGGCTTCAGCATTTAACTCCCGTTTGACGCATTGAAATTGATTTCTAGTGTTGTGGGCTTCGTGTTTCATCGTTGGATTTGATCTCTGACTGTATACCAAACTGAGCTGGTGGCATTTTAATATCTCTATACTGCACTCGTTTTGTACCTTTGTATTTTATGTGCTATTTTTATTTTTAATGTTGTATATGGTTATCAATACAATTTTGAGACAGAGAAGGTGGTGCTACACTGGACACATTCTGAGAAGACGAAGAGACAATCACCAACCAGGCACTGAAATAAGAAATTCCAAAAGAAACTGAAAGGCAAATGTTGGTGAGGTTTTGAACAACTGATCAACATCTTGGCACACGGGTAGTAACCAATAAGTGCTCCGTTCTTCTTCTAACTCAAGGCTGAGTCCAAAGAAGCTCAGCACAGTGCACAGGCTCTGTAGCATCGGCGAGGATCCTGAAATACTTTGGGTAGATCTTAAACTCTACATTTTGCCCGGGCAGCGCTGTTAGCCCAATTTTTTCGATTTCCAACTGCCAAGGCATTTTTTTACGTGCGCAGCAATGCACACGGGCGTCCGTTCCCATTACCCAGAGACCAGGGGAAATTACTAGAAGTCCAAGTTTCGTGAAAAAAGCCCAGCCCTTGCCGGAGATTGAGTCGGCTCTGTGGCTAAGTCGATGCAAACTTTTCGTAATGCCGGGGTGCCGAGTTCGAGCCCAGCTGCAGGCCATGTGCCCTGCGTTGGTTTCGACAGTGGGATCAGGGGGCCGACCGTCCAGGGGCAATCACAAACTACTACATGTAAAATTGCCTAGAGAAACCACACAACAGCCAGGGGCTGCTGGGATTGGTCCTGTAAGGGTACGCAACTAACCTGCCAGGGATTTAATCCGGAACCTCTAGCACTCGAGGCGGACACATGCCTCGAGACCAAGCAGTTCCCTCTTTTGGTGAGAGACGCCTAAAGTGCTGGACTGGATTCCATCCATGGCGTTGACAAGATTGATCAGGATAGAATGGAATGGTGAACTAGACTACAAGCTCTATGTGACATTTAAATGACACACCGGGACAATATATGATTGCGGTTATAAATGGAATGACTATACTCCGGACAAAATATAACCCAAAAAACTTGAAAGAAGCCTCTAGTGACAAAGACTTAGAGACACGTGTCTTAGATACTGGTCCCATTGTTTTAACAGACAACATGAGAGACCTCACATGTTGCAAGATTACGAAGAATACATTATTTTACTTATAGCTTCTATTAAAATTAATAAAATACAAGCAAATAATGCAAATGCTGTGTTCAATTTGGATGCCCGAGTCCCTTGGAAGAAATTATGGCATCTTTTTCTTGTCGTGACCAGAGTCATAGTTGAGTCAAAGGGAAGTGAACTAACATTATCAACCTCTGTAAGAGCTTGAGTTCTTTGGCTGTACATGCTTGTCATATTTTCTTCTGGGACATCTGTATGTTTTTTGTGACGGACGCTGTGAGATATAGCGGTCTCCTTGTCTGCTGTTTCATCCCAGATTCTGAGGCTGACTACAAGTACATTCCCCACTACTGACAGAAAGGACAGGATCAGCAGTAAAGAAATGTGGACAACTGAAATAAGAGATTGAAAATAAACATATAGCAGCTTCTCGTCACACGTCCAGGTTAGATCATTAAAATAAAAGATAAAAATGTTTAGTGATGAATAATTTCATTCCCTGGTTGAAGTTATCATCTAAACAGAACACATACGCACCATAGGACACCTGGGACAATATCTGTAAACAGACATTTATGACTCTCATAAATAATTTGTGTCAAGATCACCCTTTCCCCAATAGGATTGCAAGATACATAAGTTAGTATCTCGTGCAGCTGTTATGAGCAGAACCTGTCACCATCCCCTCCCCTCCCCCCGATAAAATTAAGGGAACTTATCACCCTAACATATCATGTTTTGGAGTTCTTGTTTAAAGTTTCTTTTCATGCATTTTATATTACTCTATTTCAAATGTATTATTTAAACGTGTGTTGTCATTCAGCACTTGGTTATTATTTTTAAAATAATTACCTACTTAACCAAGGTATAGATCTCCTAAGGCCCCACCCACCAGATAATGTTGTAAGGTTGTTCCTAACCAAGTGTTTGCTACCCCCAACCCCCAACCAATGTTTTCCCTAGGTCAGCACTCCTGGTTACAGGTACTCTCATTTTAACTTATTTAAAGACTGAACAAGGTATCTGAGATTCGGTTTACTGATTTAGAATCCAGGAACTTTTCAATACACAGAAGTATATAGACTGCACGTAGCAGCCTGGAGGAGAAAGGGTAGTTGGAATCGAAAGCTGCCAAAATAATACACCAAATACACTGCATGGAGCATGCCTGTCTCCACCCTTTCTCTGCATGCTCTGTGAGTCTGTTACAATCACGACGTGTGTATGCGTATGGTTTTCAAACCAATGAAAAACTGCGGTGACTGCTTCCACTACTGTTCTCAAACTAGATGAAGTAGTGTCATATGCCAGGCTTTGTTGCACTTAGCGACAGCCAGTAGCTATTGCAGTGAACTCATATGCACGTCTTCTGCATGTCAAAACAGAGTCAGCAGTATAAATAATCACGTCACCAGGGCGGGCATTGTGATTCTGCAGCACCACCTGGCCAGTCCTTACACTTCCTGCCTAGTGTCATTAGAGCCCGATGCAAGTCTTATTGTTGCTCGGACACTTTGACACGCTCCCCTCTAGCCCAATAGTATTAAACCTGCACACGTGTCTTATTCTGTCGCCGGGATGCGTTATGAATTATGAGTTATATTATCTTCATAGCACGCAGGACACATCCCTAAGCGCTCATATTCCCCTCTTAACATATTCAGCAGCGTCGTACGGTTAATAGTGCCAGTCCTAGTGCGTATTTAAAGACCTTCGTCTTTTCAGCATGTGACACTTAGCTCTACCTAGGGCAGTGTCTCCCAACGGCATTTTGTGCCATGCCCAACCCCAGCCTTTGTAAAATATGTCCTCTATGTAACTTGAACTCTGGACGAGTACATTTTCGAATTAACCCCCCCCCCCCCCTTCCCCCCTCACCCCACCCCAAATAATCTGATCTCATTGACAATCCAATTGCCACCTGAGAGGCATGGGCTCAACTTTGGGAAACACTGATCTCGGGCTTCATGCAGAAGGTGGATGCCCAAAAGTACTATTTTAATATGTGATACATTAGTGAATTTTTACTGTGGTGAATTAAAGTCTGGGGGAAAATCCAGTCGACAACTGAAAGATGTTTATGTTTATTCAACAGATGAACATCATGGCACAAGAAGGGTAAGTAAAGTAAAAAGTAAAAGACCATTTTCCACGCCTTTAGGCATATAGGGCTAGACCTATATTTTTATAAACCAATCAGCACAAGATGAGTGATGTGGTCAGCATCACGCCAGCACAAGAAGGGTAGTAACCCATAAGTGCTCCGTTCTACTTCTAACTTAAACCTGAGTCCGAAGAATCTCAGCGCACTGCACGAACTCTATTGCACCAGCGAGGATCCTGAAATACTTTGGGTAGATTTTAAACTCCAAATTTTACCCGGCCAGCGTAGTAAGGCTACTTTTTTTTTCGATTTCCAACTGCCAAGGTATTTTTTTTTTAACGCGCCCAGCAATACACGGACGTCCGGTTTTACTACCCAGAAACCAAGGGAAATTACTAGAAGTCCAGGTGAAGAAATTCCAGCCTTCTCCGGGGTTTGATGCCATACCTCGAGACCACTCAGATCCCTTGACAACTGACTGACTGACTGACTGACTGACTGACTGACTGACTGACTGACTGACTGACTGACTGACTGACTGACTTTCTACCCCACTAGGACATCACACAAACGATAAACACCCGATGACACAAAGTGCCATCATGTGGATGAGGATCGCCGTGGAGAGGTCCCAGAAACCGCGTTCAGACAATTGGCCATATTTATGGCCTGCCTATATTGCGGCTCCTGGCAAAATCCAGGGTGGGGCTTCAAATAACAATAAATTTCTTCCTGAAAAGGACGAAACACCTATTTTTAAAGGTAATGTTTATGTATATATACCCTTGACAACGGAAAGAGTTCATTTTTAAAGGGAGACGAATATGAGGATTTACCTAGGATGCAAACATTGTCCGACGTATGGGGTACTTGCTCGTCAACGACAGTGAGAATCACAGCAAATGCAAGCATGACAGTCATGGAGAAGTCCACTTTTTCAGATTCTTCTGGCGGTAAGATAAACGGCACGATGCTTAACACGGCCAGTAAGTTGATTGGCAGCAGCACACTGGTGAATAGCAAGAAAGTGAGTTTGTTCTGTAAGTATTAGATTTAATTGTTCACCCTTGATGCATGACAAGTTAGATGTTGTGAGGGCTTTTTTTTTTTTTTTGAGCGAGTGAACAGTGCGGTGACATTAATACCAGCAGCAGCAGCAGCTTCTTTATCTTCTTCGTCTTCTTCTTCGTCTTCTTCTTCTTCTTCTTCTTCTTCTTCTTCTTCTTCTTCTTCTTCTTCTTCTTCTTCTTCTTATTCTTCTTCTTCTTCTTCTTCCTTTTCTTCTTCGTTTTCTTCTTCTTCTTTTCTTCTTCTTCTTCTTCTTCTTCTTCTTCTTCTTCTTCTTCTTCTTCTTCTTCTTCTTCTTCTTCTTCTTCTTCTTCTTCTTCTTCTTCTTCTTCTTCTTCTTCTTCTTCTTTTATTATTATTATTATTATTATTATTATTATTATTATTATTATTATTATTATTATTATTATTATTATTATTATTATTATTCTTTAAGCACCACCGGAAAGTCCTGGTTGTTCGTGCATTTAGATTTTAGCTTCGTGCCAGAACCTGAGTTTTGCGTGTAGGCCCGTTTTACTGGCGGATTTTTGGACTTTCGGTTGTTCCTTGCCTATCTGGAAAATATACTTCGTCTTCGAAAGAAGGCCGAAATTAGTCAACTGTTGTAACACGCTGTTTGGAGAAGCAGTGTATCTATTGTTTTCCCCACAATGGGGCCCCTGAACCCACAGATTATGTCTTTTAATATTGCGGAAAGGTCTCTCTCTCTCTCTCTCTCTCTCTCTCTCTCTCTCTCTCTCTCTCTCTCTCTCTCTCTCTCTCTCTCTCTCTCTACTAATACCAAACAAGGCATACGCCAAAAGAGAAGGAAGTAGAGTACAACCCATATGCAGAACGATATAGAAAGATACCATCAACTCTAGAACTCTAGAGCATCACGATGTATATATATATGGTCGAGTAGGTCAGAGTAGCAAAAGTCAGAACCTTTTGGCAATCACAGCTATCTACATCCTTCTGTCTCGTGTATTTTTCATCTTTTACACAGATGTTCTTTCATGCCATGATGTCAGTGGGTGTGTTGTTCAGAATCTTCTATCTCCGTTTTTCTCTGCCTCTTCACCCCTCTAACTTTCCCACCGTCATGATGTATTCCACATTTATCCATCTCATGACGTGACCAAAAATGTATAGATTGTAAAAGTGTTTTACCTCAAAGAAACATAAAAATAACGCCGTGCGAGTCTGATATTGAAAGACAGCGCGTCAAAGCATCCGGTATCATATATCTGCACCTCTTTACTGGCACCATCAGACGATATTTCGTACTCTCCATTGGTCACCATGTACTTCATTACAACAGGTTCATTCGGCACTCTAAGCTGAAGAAAAAAACATTGCAACTCAAAATTTTAACCAGACAAACTAACAAGACGGAACTTAATAAAAGCTTATATGCTATCAATGCCAAACGTGAACACTTACTCCTCCAATGAACATAAAATTGTGACAAAAGAGATGAAATGCTTTAGAAGATCTGCAGGAGTTTCAAGGAAGGACAGAATACGAAATCATGAAATAAGACGAATGCTAGGAATAAAGCCGGTCTTGCAGGTCATCACAGAACAACAAATTAAATGGTTTGGACATCTAACAAGAATGCTCTGATACTATCTGCCACAGCGAGCCATATTAAAACGTTACAACGGGTACAGAGCGAGTGGAAGACCTCGGAAAATATGGAGTGATGGCAGTAAGAACAGCCTTACAGAAATGAACATCAGTCTTAATAGTGCTCCTGACAGAGCTCATCAACGAACATTACATCTCCCCCCGACACTTTACTGAGGTACAAGGTGGAAGCTTATTGAAAAGGAGGGCAGCGTCAAGGCATGGACGAACAGCAGTCTAGGTCTGAGTACAACTAAGAGAGGATTGCAAATCTGTTGACACAGCCTTTAATGTGGAGACGGCAACTGGTTGATTAAAATTTGATGTTCCTATTTACTTTTATTTGTATTAGTTTGTCATTGCTTTTTAAAACGATTCGACGCTCATAGCGTTGTTTAGATCAACGCAACGCAGTCTACAATCATACTGGTTTAGTCGAGTCGACACCCTTCTATGCTACTTTAAAGCCACATCGTCAAAGACGTTATGGAAAGTTTAAAAAAAAAAAAAACCATCCACGTTATGTTGATCACATGACTCATATTAATGGGTAGTCAGAAACCTTGTGTCGGCATCTGTTGCTTAGGCGTTACGAGCGCGTTTCGTATTACCGAGATGCCAGGTTCGATTCCAGCAGCGAACGGTTTGTCTTGATTTCGACATTGGTACCTAGAGCTGACCGTTCACCGGGCAGTGGCAAACTTTTGAACGTAAAATTTGCCTAGAAAAGTCACAACAGCCAAAAAATACTGGGGTTGGTTCTGCTGTAAAGGATACGCAACTAACCTTTTTTTTTTTTTTGTGTGTGTTATGTTATGTTATGTCATTTTATGTTGTGTTAAGTTATGTACATATGCTATGTTGTGTTATGCTATGTAGATATGTTATGTTTTGTTATGTTGATATGTTATGTACATATGTTATCCTCTGATTCATTGTGTCATATTATGTAGATATCTCAAATTCTGTTATGTTGTGTTCTGTTATGAAGATATGTTTTGTTATGTTCTGTTATGTTGTGTTTTGCTATATAGATATGTTATGTTGTGTTATGTTGATATATTACGGGAAGGACTGGGCTCAAGAACTTGGTTACAGCTGGAAAGATTAGTGAAAAAGAGCAAGGGGGCTGCACAGAGATAAATATCTGAACGGCTTAGTAATGTGATTGGGCGGGACAAGAACACTGACCTGATCCGTGATTCTGGGGAGCAAGTGAGATGACGTAACAAGACCGCCTAGGCTTATCGGCAGGGTACAGAATGACAACGATGACGTAGATCAGTGGTTCTCACCCTTGCTACTGCCGCGACCCTTTGATACATTACCTCATATTGTGGTGACCACCAAACATAACATTATTTTCGTTGCTACTTTGCAACTTCAGTGAATATGTGTTTTCCTGTAAAATAGTCGTTCGATCCCTAAAAGGGTCGCGACCCATAACTTGAGAACCCCTGATGTGGAGAAACGTAGTGGCCTGATGGTCCACCAAGACATGTATTGACATTGAGTCGCAAGAGTGCATCGCACGTTGATACACAACTAATTAAATTTCCTCTCGTACCAATTAGCGCTGCGTTTGAGGCATAAAAATGAGAATATGCACACACAAAGGCAGCTGATAAATACGCTATTCGTGCAGCTTTTTTTTTAAATGCCAGACACGCACAGTCTTTAAAAAAAAATTAATAAACATAAACGTAACAGTACAACATATTAAACAACATGTACAAGAAATGCAGCCGTTAAACACAAAAAAAGACAAGAGTCACCAACGATAAACGTAGAATAAAGGTAGGTACAGCATCAGTAAAAAATGTCGTAGAACATCAAAGAATGAAACAGTTTGGCTATCTGGTCAAAATAGTACAAACAAACCAGTAGTCAGAGGTTACTACACTAGAACAGCAGGCTACAAGGCAAGTTTCCGAACAAGGAAAGGATGGTTGGCGGGGGTAAAAAAAGACACTACAGAAACACAGTATGATATAACCCAAGCTACAAGACTAGTGAAAGACAGAAAACAACACATAACTCCTCTCTGTGACGTTTTTCGGGATATGCAATACGACAACCAAACAAAACGTCCGTCTTGCCTTTCCTCTGAGCCTCGAACGTCTGCCAGAACCTCTCGTCACTGCCCCCTGCATCAATCTTACCAGACCGTATTCTAAGGGGTAAGCATGAAAACCCTCCAGAAATATGAAATATGCCTCTGTGCTGAGGTTAATTTTTTTTAAGTATGACACAAGTACATTTCTTTCGAACAAAAAAATTAACCTTAGCACATTTTGGGAACCATGTCACCTCAGCATTTTTATATTCAGCCATATCACCGAAACACCTTTCAATTGAACCGCATCACCAGAACAGGCTTGCGAACCACATCACCTAACAACTTTTCATCTGAACTGTACCACATCACCTAACAACTTTTCATCTGAACTGTACCACATCACCTAACAACTTTTCATCTGAACTGTACCACATCAGCACCTTGTTGAGGCACATCATCTCAGCATTTATTGTAAATGGTATCACCTCTGCACTTTTCTGTTGAACCGCATCACCTCAGTACTTTCTGGGAACCACCTCGCCTCAGAACTTTTTTTTACTGAACCACAACACCTTAGCACTTTTTATTGGAACCACGTCACTTCAGCACTTTTTATTGGAACCATATCACCTCAGCACTTTTCTGTGTAACATTATCACCTCAGCACTTTTTCAGTGGAACCACATCACTTCAGCACTTTTTAATGGAACCACATCACCTCAGCACTTTTTAGTGGAACCACGTCACCTCAGCACTTTTTATTGGGACCATATCACCTCAGCACTTTTTCAGTGGAACCACATCACTTCAGCACTTTTTAATGAAACCACATCACCTCAGCAATTTTTAATGGAACCACGTCACCTCAGCGCTTTCTTATGTAACATTATCACCTCAGTACTTTTTAATGGAATCACGTAATCTAACAAAAATTTTAATGGAACCACATCACATCCTATGGTGAACAACAGATTTGCAGAAGGTGACGATACAAAAATGAAAATAGATGTCGGGGCCGACCTGTATTACGATGTAAAGATGTGCAAGCGGGACATGAATGATACAGCTATTTAGATAGATTCGTTGGGACAACAGGCCAATTACCATGTTGCTTGGAAAAGGGGGGGGGGGGGAAACAGAAAGGAAAATGAATAGAGGATAAAATGACTACAGGATAGGGTGAGAGCTGAATGATTTGGCAGCACACTGCCTTTTGTTGGTTTGTTTATACAGTGATGTCTAGAGCCGACCGTTTAGTTACAATAGCAAACTGCTGTAAGGACACGCAACAAACTTTTTTTTTTGGTTCTCAGTGTCCTCTTGAGAATTCCGTGGATTGTTATCATGGTATGCGGCGTCGCAGGTCGACCCAGCCTAAAATGGGTACCACGATGGATGTCATGGGGAAGTAAAGGCAGCCGGCATAATGGTGACCACATTTCACACCTAGTGCCGACGGTCTGTAAAAATATTGGTGCTCTTCCCATATGCCCTATGCACCTAAGGCATGAAACGAGAGCTTATTTTATTAACTTTTTTTTTTTAAATTTGGGAAATCTTCCAGGACTGACATAGTTAACAAGACAGACAACAAAAACAATGCTGCTTATGGGAACAGTAAGAGCAGGTACTTTGGGATGGTTGCGGCATCGCTGAAGTGAGCACGCTTGGGAAGGTCAAATGTGCAGTGATGTGGGAAGGTCAAATGTGCAGTGATGTGGGAATGTCAAATGTGCAGTGATGTGGGAAGTTCAGATGTGCAGTGATGTGGATTGTGAAAACATAACATAACTTATAGAGAATCCCTTACCTTACAGGAGCCTTCTAGATAAAACGGCGGTTCCCATGAAACATGTCCTTTAGAGCTAACAGAGACAAGCATGTCATCACTACCGAGAGTGTCGTGTTCGTTAGCGCTGTAGTAGAACACTGAGTTATTTAGAACACTAAACTGATAAATATGTCATAGACAAAATATACACATTTGTGGGACATCAGAAGCCTGTCTTTGCAGTGGTGAAACGTCGCAAGCTGGCTTAGTTTGGGCACATAGTGAGACATGATTTGATTGCAAAGACTGTACTTCAAGAAACATTGGGTTGGGGGGGGGGGGGGAGGGTTGTCGAACAAGAGGAGGACAAAGAAGAACCTGGAATAATACTATAAAGACATCGACAGGACTAACTTATACAATTATTCATCAAGAGGAAGACAGAGAATAACGGTGGGTTTTATGTGTTAGTGCTTTTATTAATACACCTTCACGACCCTAATGGGTCAAGGGTTATGTTATTCTGAGTCTGTTTATTTCATTATTAGCTTGTGTATCCACACGAATAGAGATAATAATGAAGCTATCTGCCTATCTATTCGTTTATCGGTTGAATTTAACTCATCTTTCAGAATGCAATAGTATTTTTTTTTTTTTATCTAAAAGAATGTTATTTTTATATATCAATGAATATACACAATGTGACTATCACAAAACTTAGAAGAGTGCGAAGAAGAGAAGAAGGAGCAGAGAAGAAGAATGTGAATTATAATACTCATCAATTTTTACTTTTGCCGTTAAGCCAGGGGTGGAACAGAGATCTTTTGCTCGATGGGTAGCTCTTTAGCGTTATCAATCCATTACTCCTAGGGCTATCTCTCGTTTTCTCATCCGATCTTTTCGTGTGTAGCGTCTGCCCTGGTAATTGTTCTGGCTACGTTTCCAACAAGAAAACCTTACCGTTTTATCTTCTGTTTCTCACTTAATTTATTGCACGATGTCGTTTCAACATTCTGTCTGATAACATTATTTCTAACTGTGTCTCGTATGGTTAAGCTGGCGTCTTTCTTCTGGCATCTTTTTTCCACAGGTGTAATATTGTGTAGGTTAGCCTTATGTGCAAGTATCGCAATGGTAGCACTTTATTGGTATCGGTATGCTGCTTATAACCCGTTTCTTGGCTGTATTACTTATCTTCATCAAGCGCCTTGCCAGCTAAGATAGGTGTTTACGCATGTCCACAGATCTCGGTCTGTGGTGTTCTGAATCAATTGCATTGATGATATTTTTCCATGCTACTATCATAAGACATCCACCATAATTTCTCTTGGTCTGTCTCTGCCTCATCTATCAGTGATCTTTCCAGTCGTCACGATATTCATCATCATATGACCAAAGAACTGTGTTTGTCTGTTGTATAAAATGTTCTACTTTCATGAGCAATTTCCAGGCAATCACTGTTAGTTATTCTGACAGTCCAAGGTATTTGCAACATTTTTTTCAAGAATCATATCTAATCTGTATCAAACTCTTTTTAATTTGTTTGCTGCATTCCAAGCTTTACTGCAAGAAAACAGTTATCTCAGTATCATATTGGCGTCAGTCCTTGATAATATTTAAGTGCAGGATGAGAGCTGGCGGCAACAGCATACGGTCAATGTCACCGAACTGTTTGGGTGCCCACTGTAACAGTTCGTCATCCCACCTCTGTAGACACATAAATGAGCAAACATGGCAAGATTAATTAATAAATGTCACACTAAGTCACGAAAGCAATATCAATATTTTTTTCAAAATTAAAAATGGGAAAGGGGGAGGGGGTGGGGGTGGGGGTTGATTTATCAAAACATTTAAAGAAAAAGCAAGAGTAATTTAAATTATGAAATCAACAGCAAGTAAATGTACCTTAGCACAAACACACACACACACACACACACACACACACACACACACACACACACACACACACACACACACATACACACACACAAACTTTTTTTTTTTGGTAACGAACGAAAAAACGCAGTTGATTTATCAAGTGCAAAAATGAGCAATATACCTGATGAAACATAATAACATCGTTTCAATTAAATCACACGAACGTCTTCTTCGCGCTCACCAGCTGTAGACCGGTTATTTCTGTTGTTCGTCCACTTCTGGAGTGTAGATCTGTTCCAGAACCTGAGTGTTGTATCTGCATCTTTTTGACTCATTTGTATACAGACTGCTGGCTCCTTACCTGTCAGGAAGATGCACTTTGATTTTAAGTTAGCAGACTTTTCCGGTATGCTTTTAGGCGTGCAAAAGGTCTATTCTTGTTTATCCTACAATGGGGCCCAGGATCCTACACGGGGAAAGAGCCATTTAATCTCAGTTGCTTTTAAATGAATATTTAAAAGAGCTTTTACCACTTAATCTTACTTGCATTGTAATAAATAGTTTTAAAGAGCTTACTTACAACTTTCAAAAATGCTCGTAGAAATATCAGCTGCTTCTGGGCATCCTGTTTTAGTGAAAAACATTAAAGTGTACTATAAATATTTAAAAATCAAACAGCATTACAATGTTGAATGCTAAATTAGGAATCAAAATCACAGCATCCGGGACACTCGCACAAGTGCTCAGTCTCCATCTTCAGCAGCAAAGGAAGAGTTCCAATTCCGATGGTACTAGTAACCGTCTGATTGTATATCCGTCTCATCCTTGCCCTGAGTGTTGAGCGTCGGCCAGATCCCCTGTTAACTCCTCGCATCGCCATTCTCAATAGACCGTAATGATCTTTTTGCTCCACCGCACTGTTCACTAGCTCCCAAAGGGCGCTCACAGTATCTAACTTGTCATACATCAATTCACAGCATTACAAGCTTAAGACTAAGCACCAACAAGGAAATCAAAGTCACAATTTTAAAAGCATGCATCCTCCTCGTAGCATCTTACGGATGTGAGTCGTGGACTATCTCGACGCTAAGGAGGAAAACAGGCTTTTTGGCTGAAAGGCTATAGAAGAATGATCAGAATAGCGTGGACAAATAAGAAAAAAAAAATACCAACATAATATGGTATGAACAACAAGGAAAATAAAAATAAATCTGACCCCAGGAAAAGAGCGAAACAACAAGGAAAGTTGGAAATAAAACTGACATCTAAAAAGATATTAACACCAAGAAATCTGAAATATCTTTTCTCTATCAATCGCCAAGGTGCATTGGAAAGAATAATATCAGAAGGCAGGGTACAAGGAAAGAAGGGCAAGGACCGCACACCACAAAGATGGGCACATGGTATAAGTGACACATTGGGTAGGAAAGTTCACGAGGTGGGGAAGCTGACAAGAGACTGAGTCCTTTCAGGGAGACCGCGATGAGAGCGACGTTCTGCAAAGAACCTACTTCTTTTTCAGCATTCCGAGCACTTGAGGTTCATTGCTGCAGATATCACCTTCATTCATCTTTCTGGCTGGCTTTCTCTTTCCAGCTGGTGACACCAGTTGTTTGCATGTATGTCTGGACATTACCTCTCCAACTTCTTCTTGGTCTGCCTAGTGGTCTACGACCATTCATCTCCCTAGTGTGTACAGTTTTTACTTCTCTGCTATCTGACATTATTTCAATATGCTCCAACCATTTCAGTCTATTAGCTTTCATGATGCCAGTGATCAGTGGTGATTTAAACGGATTGAAGAGATTGTTTGTTGTTTGTTTTAGTATCCAGAAGCCATGAGTTGTTAACCCTTAGGCTAGGTATTATGGATATCGCAACCTTTCGGCCTTGATTCCATTTTAAATACCGTAAATCTGGGAGAAATGTGGCTTTTCTGCCCACCCCTGGGAGTGAACCCGGACCACAAGGAGTTCGTCACCCGCTCACCGCGCAATCCGGTTTAGCCAACTACGCTAGAGAGACTAGCATTGAAGAGATTAAAGGAACCTACCACATAAAGATAAGTATATACATATGTCTTTTTGTCTATGTTTTTTTGTGTCTGTCTCTTTATCTCTGTCAGTGTCTGCGCTGACTAGGTGATCTTATGATTCATCAACGTAAATAAAACAAAACATTAAAATCAAAAAGCCCATGCAGCAAAATTAACAGTCACAAGCACACCAACAACAAATTTAAAAGCCAATGCACCAAGGCCTGATGGGGTCACGTATGGCCGCATGATGGCTTTGAGCGATGTAGACCTGACGGAGATGATAGACTGCTTTAACCAGAGCATTAAGATAGAATCAGTACCGCAGGACTGGATGCACAGCTATCAAATCCTACTGCTAAAACCTTTCAGGATAATTCAAAGCTCAGTGGCCTTAGAATCATCACCTTACAAAATACATTTGGGAAGGTCTTGTAGAAGATAGTCGTTGTAAAGCTGCAAGAATTTTTGGGAAAGGGGAAGCTTCTCCCAAGAGGTCTAGAAAGGACATATTGTCAAATGCAGCCACATTTGCTTTTGACTTCTAAGAAAGGTTTTAAGAACAGACAGGAAACGATGGCGGCATCACTGGATCTCGATGATGCTTATAACAGAGTAAGATACGATATATTGATGTGGGTTGCAGCTGTAAGCAGGGGAGAGAAAGGGAACAAACATCCCGGGAGCTATAAGCGACAGCAGACACAGTGACTGACTGGTGTACAGAAACGAGGGCTGTCGGCCATACATAAAAGGAGTAGTTTTTGTGGTGTTCTCTGGACAACAGGAGTGTTAGAGCTAAGGTCACAAGTCCCACGATAGATGGTAAAAACGTCCACAGAGAAAGAGAGAGGAAACAAGTATTTGGGAATCACATTTGACAGGAACATGTCCTTCAATGACCGTATAGACATGGTTGTCACAAGATGCCAAAAAGGACTCAGTGCGACTGTGGCTATAATGGACATAGAGAAGAGAATGCTTTTCACACATCAGCACCAGATGCTGCCAGTGACTGATTATGGCCTGGGACTGCTTTTTGTCTTAAAGAGTCAGATTGTTAAACTAGAGCGCATACAGTACGCAGCTATGCGGATCATTCTGGGTTCTACCAGAGACACTCCTGTGGTGTGTATGCGATACATCCTTAGTTTTACGGCTGTTGCAGGTAGGCTCAATGTGCTGCATGTAAAGTCATATCTCAAGGTAGCTGCAGAAACATTCCACCCTTTGCTCGAAGCTCTAGGCGCAGTTAAGGGTCAGCGGCTGATAAGAGGGAAGTCATGGATGGCTCAGGCAAAAGACACAGACAGGTTTGCATCCTGGAGAACATTAGACGAGGAAATTAGTGGGTCAGAGTGCTAGTGAAACAGTTAGATTTGAGTAGAGTCATAATCACATTGAGCAGGAGCGCAGAGACTGGCCAGCAGGTGCCAGGAACGTGGACATTCAGCAATTAATTGAAAATAATGTTCACTTAGAGGATTTGATTATTTATAAAGACTGTTTAGTGTCAAGAGTCAAAAGAAGAGCTTTGGGCTTTTTAGCAAATATTAATGGTCGACGTTCCGTGAAGGAGAGTCTAGCATATGATACCACAATATTCAGCTTAAGAATGGAGGTGGAGACAGTCAATGCAGCTTTCCGCTGGTTAAAGAACACCACACACACATACTCGCGCTCGCGCGAGCTCCAAATTATACACACACATCGTGATTGTAACTGAATCAGAAAGCATGCTGAAGAAAATCAGGACAGGCAGGCTTCCTGCGGAGTGGCATGCTTCGCTGCAGAGGTAACGGGTGAGGAGTATTGTCTGGACATTTTCTCTGGGAAACGTCGGTGTGTTGTGAAATTAACAGACAACCTGCTAGAATACTGATACATGATAAGGTGGACGTGGTTATAGCCGTGTGGGAGAGCGTGTACAATTCGGAGAAGCAAATAGTCTGGGGAGAATGATGCAGCAGGAAAGAACGTGGTTTTTATTGGTCGATGCTCGAAGCTCAAAGGAAAGGCAAGACGGGTGTTTAATTAATTAGAATGATACTGTCATCAATGGTACTGGACTCTACGCTGACCGCTGAAGATGGGGACTGAGCGCTTATCGAAATGCCCCGAGTGCTTTGATGTCGGTTCTTGAATCAACTCAACTCAGCAAAATCAAAAACTTTAGCATCAACAGCAAAAAGCAACATTAACATCAACATAAAAAGTATCAATAAAATTACCAGTTACAGCAAACACAACACCAACAGCAAAAAACAACATGAGCTTTTGGGTGTCTGTGGGAAATGATCAAGCCGTTCGCCTAGTACCATGGATTCGTTTCACGGTGGCGCCGTTCATTGCTAGGGGTCGTCAAATGAGCTACGGAGGTCGTACTCTGTGCGATGCGGTCGACACGCAGCTAGCTGTTCTGGGAAGAGAAACTGAGCCATATGGGATAAAATCTGCTTTAATGAAGTCGTTCGTCTCTATTGTACTGCATCCCAATGTCGGACGCATATTTTTTTTTTTCCGGTGACCCTTAAAAAACCCAACCTTTGAGGCTTCTTGATCCTGTCCCTGGGTTATCCTTATCCGAATGGTCACCAGGTATTGATCGCTCGGTGTGATATCCTTATAGGATTGAACAACAGCGAATCTGTCAATCCTCTCACCTTTACTTTTAGCTTACCTTAACAACATTGCTAAAAAACAAAACATCAACGTTAACATCAACAGCAAAAAACAATATTAACACCATCAGTTAAAACAACATATACAACAGCAAAAACAACATTAGCATCAACAGCTAAAACAACATTAACAGCGTCAGTAAAAGCAACAACATTAAAAAAACAAACAGCAAAAACAAACACTCACAATAAGAGCAAAAACACGTTAGCAGCATAAGCAACAAAATTTTGTTTATTACCAACAGGAAAATCAACAACCTTAGCATCAACATCAAGTATAAACAAAATTACCAGCAACAACTAAAGCAAGAACGACAACAGTGACATAAAACTTACCAATCCCATGACAATGGAGACATGCAGCTGCACTGTTACAACAGTTGGGTTGCTATAGTTACTGCTTGGACGAACTGTCGGGTCATATCCATCCAACAGTGTCTTGTGAAGCTCTTTCATCTCCTCAGCACCGCCTTTACACTCAGCTTCAGCAATAGCCAATGTATCCAACAAAAGAAACTAGATTTATTGGACAATCTTGACAATTTAACAGCAGTTGAGTTACAATGGTTATGACTTCGACGAACAATTGAGGCATGTCCATATATATATATCATCATTATCAGGTGCCTTGCCGACTGGCATGCGCGGTCATACCTCTCCACAATCTGCGATCTCCTGCAGCATGTATCAGTTTGTGTGCCGACACACCTCCAAGCCATGCAACAAGACTGTCAAGAATCTTCTCTCGCTGTCTTCCTCTATCCCTCCTTTCACAGATCTTTCCAGTGGTCACAACATGTTCTATTTTCCCTCTTCTCATAACATGGCCGAAAAAAAATGACTGCCTTCTTCTGATGTCTGTGATAAGTTGTCTTCGGACTCCCGCATCTTTCAAAACCTCTTGGTTGCTCCTTTTGGCTGTCCAAGGTATTCAAAGCACTATTCTGTAAAACCACATCTCTGAGGCCTTAAGAAATTGCTTGGCCTGCCTACAGATTGTCCAGGATTCACAGCCATATGTTAAAACTGGATGTATGTAGCAAGCAAGGATATTTTTTTCCAACTCTCAATGACAAAGATATATTCCATAAGATGTTCTTTATTTTATAAAATGCAGTTTTTGCCTGTCCTATTCTATTTCTTATCTCAGTTATGCATCATCCATCTGATGTTATCCATGTGCCCAGATACTTAAATTTCTGTACTTGTCCCAAAATAACACCATCGACTTTTATTACACATTTAGAAATAATTCGTTTCTTCGATACCACCATTACTTCTGTCTTCCCCTTTTTCAAACTTAGGTCCATTCTTCAAATTTTTAAAACCACAGTGTCTGTCATTTCCTGTAGTTATTTCTGACTTGTTGCTAGCAAGACTGTGTTATCAGCATAACGTAAATTGTTTATATTGTGCCCATCAACCAAAATTCCGGGCATATCAATTAAAGATCTCATTATATATTCACTGTATAGTGAAAACAAATCAGGTGACAGTACACATCCTTGTCGTAAGTATATATATAATATATATATATGTACACACACACACACATACATATATACAAATGTGTATGGCTCACTGTGTCGAGAAATTGTGTTGCTGCCGCTTTACTTAATGATGTCTCCTCGCGCGCGCGCGCGCCTGTGTGTGTGTATATGTGTGTGAGTGTGTGTAGTTCCAAAAAAAAAAAAAAAAAATATGTCAATGCATGATTATCGGATGGCGGGATTTTATTAGTTTGCAAATAAAATATCGTACTCGGGTATGTGAAAAGCAGACTTAAATGTTGTTTCTATGTCTAGTGGACATGTGGTGTGAACTGTGTGGGGGGTTTTTTAATCGTTATAACGCAGTAGTCAAATATTTTAAAGACATATTTGTGAGCATAGCTCATGATGCGCCCCCGAGAAAGCAATGCTATTTTGGGTGAACTCTATTCACTGTCTACGCTTTTGAAACCATATAAAAGGGTAACGCCTCTATCAATATTTTAAAGAAAAGTTGCCATTGGCCGATGGCAAACAGGAGACAGTCAAAGTCAGGTCGCCTGCATCTAAATGTGCATCAGAGCACCATCAATCGACTTTGGCACCAGTTCTAAGCCACTGGTTTAGTTGAAGGCACATCGCGGTAAACGACCCAGAGTGCCAACAGCAGCGTAGAATCGCTTTATTTGGCTTCGGCATCTCAGAGACAGCTTTACAACAGCTTCCTCAACTGTACAGGCATTACCTCTAAAACGTCATGTGTCTGATTAAACTGTTCGGAACAGACTGCATGACGCTAGACTTTGACTTTGGCCCTCGCCACCGCCAAAATCGACTTCTTTGGGTCAACCAACATCGTTCCTTGGCAGGTGGCAATTAATGTAAACGTCTCTGGTTCAGTGACGAAGCTTTCTTTCTGTTGCAGTATCATTATAGACAACACAGTTTCTACCGTAGGCGAAATGAAGGTTCAGCTCAAAGTTGTGCTGATGAAACTCTTCTGCACGCTGGTGGAGGTGTAATGGTGTTGGTAATTATCAGTTACAGAGGAAGGAATCAATTGGTGCACATTAAAGGAAGCTTGAAATCTAATGATACGTCAGTGAAATTCTTCGATCACACATGTCCTTCTATTCGGAGATTCCAACAGAAATCTTTTTCTACAGGACAACGCCTGACCCTCTTCTGCACGGTTGGCCATGCAGTTCCTAACTGCCAGTAACATTCAAACCCTTCCTTGGCCATCCCTGTCCAATTGAGCACCTGTTGGATGAGCTGCAAAGACGTGTTTGTCTCCGAGACGTTGCTCCAGCCAATGGTCGTGATCTGTTCCAGGCACTCTAGGAAGAGTGGGCATCCATCCCACAGGCCAACATGAAATCGCATCCATGCCCATGAGAAAGTCACTGATCCAAGCAAGAGAAGCCCACACACATACTAACGGGAAAGGCCGTACGCCTAAAAATTATCGTGACCCAGATGCCAAAAACAAAATGTCGATTAACTGGTGTAACCCTAAAATATTCTTGCATTACAAAAATGCAGATTGTCAAATTGTGAGTGTGTATATTCCTTCAGTGTCGGCTCTGTGGCTAAGTCGATGCGAACGCTTCGTAAGGCCGGGAGGCCGGGTTCGATCTCAGCTGCGGGCCATGCGCCTTGCTTTGGTTTCGACAGTGGTATCAAGAAAGCCGACCGTCCAGAAGCAATGGCAAACTACTGGACGTAATTTGCCTTAAAAAAAACCACACAACAGCCAGGGGCTGTTGGGGTTGGTTCTGCACCGTCCTGTAAAGGATACGCAACTAACCTTATATTCCTTCAGAAAAAAGCGCCATTGCAACAGTTGAAGTGATGCGACAAGTTTATGGAGATAATTGTTTATTTCGTGCACATATTTTCATCTGGTATTCACGCTTCAAATGGTGTGGAAATGATTACTAATGCAGCTAGACTTGGACGCCCAATTTATGTTCTTAATGATGAACAACTCATTGTAAAAGTCAAAGAACGGATACAAGAAGATCAGTGTCTTACTGTGAGGATGATGGCAGATGAATCTGGCGTTAATAGTGAGATAATTAGTAACATTTTAGTGCAAGATTTTAGCAAGAAAAAAGTTGCTGCCGGTTTGTTCCACATCGTTATCTGATGACCAAAAACACCAGCGGGTTGAGTACCAAAGAGACAAGTATTTTTGGCCCCAAAACAAATGTGTGTTCTCACCCTCGTCTTCCTTATCTTCCTGTTATTATTTTCTACTCCCAAAATTAAAGTTACTATTGAAAGGACGCTTTGCAGGAGCATCCTAACAGAAATGAACACCAACTTGCACAATGCATTGGAAAAAGCGCTCAAACGATTTTTTCATACCGCTCCCCCACCCGCTCCCCAACACCTCGCTGAGGTAAATAGTGAACGAGAAGAAGAAAAAGACACATGATATTGACTTGATTGATATTATGTTGAAGACTTACTTCGAACATGATAATAACCATAATAATGAGCACGACGAGTATGGTAATGATGTTTGAATTATTTTACATTACCTTTAGTCCATATTAGAAAGAGAAGAAGAAAAATATCTAAGAGGTAAAGACGACGCTTTCCTTGAAATATGTTCGACATTGGTTCCACCCGTCTTACATCTGTTTGAAGTAAGCGAAAACTTACTAGTTATACTTAGAGCATTTATTATGTCCTACATGATGTGTACTTACTAACAACTGTCGTGTACCACAAACACAAGACAGTGGCGTAGCTACCGATAGTACTATAGCTGGTAATTGGCTATAGTCAGTATCGTGTATATGTCAGATTATTAATTTCTCTAGAGATTTATCTACATTTACATAATAAACTGCTAGAAAACTGGCAGGAGCAGACAGGAAACAATCGTGGTCGCGATCTAACACCGTGGCATTGAAGCATATTATCAATAAAACTGATCCGGAGCACAAAGCGCTAATATATGTATGAAGATAACTGACGGGCTGATATATGGAGATTAATGATGGGCTGATATATGGAGATTAATGACGGGCTGATATATGGAGATAAATGACGGGCTGATATATGGAGATAAATGACGTGCTGATATATGGAGATTAATGACGGGCTGATATATAGAGATTAATGACGGGCTGATATATGTAGATAAATGACGGGCTGATATATGGAGATTAATTACGGGCTGATATATGGAGATTAATGATGGGCTGATATATGGAGATTAATGACGGGCTGATATATGGAGATGAATGACAGGCTGATATATGGAGATTAATGATGGGCTGATATATGGAGATTAATGACGGGCTGATATATGGAGATTATTGATGGGCTGATATATGGAGATTAATGACGGGCTGATATATGGAGATAAATGACGGGCTGATATATGGAGATAAATGACGTGCTGATATATGGAGATTAATGACGGGCTGATATATAGAGATTAATGACGGGCTGATATATGTAGATAAATGACGGGCTGATATATGGAGATTAATGACGGGCTGATATATGGAGATTAATGATGGGCTGATATATGGAGATTAATGACGGGCTGATATATGGAGATGAATGACAGGCTGATATATGGAGATGAATGACGGGCTGATATATAGAGATTAATGACGGGCTGATATATGGAGATTAATGACGGGCTGATATATGGAGATAAATGATGGACTGATATATGGAGATAAACGACGGGCTGATATATGGAGATGAATGACAGGCTGATATATGGAGATTAATGAAGGGCTGATATATGGAGATTAATGACGGGCTGATATATAGAGATTAATGACGGGCTGATATATGGAGATTAATGACGGGCTGATATATGGAGATTAATGATGGGCTGATATATGGAGATTATTGACGGGCTGATATATGGAGATTAATGACGGGCTGATATATGGAGATTAATGACGGGCTGATATATGGAGATTAATGACGGGCTGATATATGGAGATTAATGACGGGCTGATATATGGAGATTAATGACGGGCTGATATATGGAGATTAATGACGGGCTGATATATGGAGATTAATGACGGGCTGATATATGGAGATTAATGACGGGCTGATATATGGAGATTATTGACGGGCTGATATATTGAGATAAATGACGGGCTGATATATGGAGATTATTGACGGGCTGATATATGGAGATTAATGATGGGCTGATATATGGAGATTAATGATGGGCTGATATATGGAGATTATTGATGGGCTGATATATGGAGATTATTGACGGGCTGATATATGGAGATTATTGATGGGCTGATATATGGAGATTATTGATGGGCTGATATATGGAGATTATTGACGGGCTGATATATGGAGATTAATGATGGGCTGATATATGGAGATTAATGACGGGCTGATATATGGAGATTAATGACGGGCTGATAGATGGAGATTAATGACGGGCTGATATATGGAGATTATTGACGGGCTGATATATGGAGATTAATGACGGGCTGATATATGGAGATTATTGATGGGCTGATATATGGAGATTATTGACGGGCTGATATATGGAGATTAATGACGGGCTGATATATGGAGATTAATGACGGGCTGATATATGGAGATAAATGACGGGCTGATATATGGAGATAAATGACGTGCTGATATATGGAGATTAATGACGGGCTGATATATAGAGATTAATGACGGGCTGATATATGTAGATAAATGACGGGCTGATATATGGAGATTAATGACGGGCTGATATATGGAGATTAATGATGGGCTGATATATGGAGATTAATGACGGGCTGATATATGGAGATGAATGACAGGCTGATATATGGAGATGAATGACGGGCTGATATATAGAGATTAATGACGGGCTGATATATGGAGATTAATGACGGGCTGATATATGGAGATAAATGATGGACTGATATATGGAGATAAATGACGGGCTGATATATGGAGATGAATGACAGGCTGATATATGGAGATTAATGATGGGCTGAT